TTTTACATCATGAATGACATTTTCACATCAATTTGACCTATATTTTGGGTTTTATTTATAAGAAATGGGGACAAATTAACTCATTTCCTCTATATTTAGACAAAACCTACAGTTTTTTAAATCTAAATTCCCTCTGATTATTGTTTGATGCAAATGTAGTATGATTACTAACATATTTTTGTAAAGTGGTAAACAATTAACTGCATCCAAGATTTAAAGATTTTATCGGTTTCCAGTGGATAAATTTTATCGCATTCAAGGGATCACAACTGTGACAATAACGAGACAACCCATCTCCTTCATGATGGGCAATAAGCTTCCGTGGTAGTACTTGCAATTTTTTCGAATTTCGTGGGCTCTTAAGGTTCCGTCTTTGCGTTTCCGCTAGGTGACATGGCTTCCGGACCATGTTAGTAGCACCCCAGCCCTTTCCTACGTCGGCGGTACACTTTCCGTCCTAGCATTGTGACTTCTTCCGGCTTTAGGAGAAAATCGGGGTACTAAAATGATGGCAGTTAAAAGCAAAACCAATCTTAATGGGAAATTGCTCCGATTTTTTTTGCTGAATGGTAAACCTTAGCGTGAAGGAAGAGGGGCATATGCTATGGATAGGGAGAATTTATGACGACCTTTGACAGAAGTGCTGAAATTGACGTCTACCCTTGGCCACTACCCCAATCACATGGTCTGCAGGAATGTTAATAACAAGTGAAGCGACGCTTGCCGTAAACCATCTGAAAAGCTATTTATGGAGTTGTCTACGGTACCTGTATGAAGATGTAAATTTGATGAACAGGCGATACCTCCTTCTCCTTTCACATAGCTGCATGGAACTGAGGTAGATGTGGGTGGGCAGCACTGAAGTGAGACCAAATTAGCGAGGAGGAATGGGGAAAAAACCCCATTCTTACATAACCATTTTAAAATTTGTCTTTTATTAAATGAATCCGCTTTATGGCCAGCGTTCTTACCACTAGCGGAGGACATACGGGATGGATAGCCCATTCCTCCCTCCTCCAATGCAGTTACCAAACAGGACAAAACACCAGATATAGCAGAATTACCGAGAGGGACCGGTGACTTTGCCGCCAGATATATTATCATCTGAACGCAAATTCAATGATTGGGGCGGTCAGTGGGTTTGTAACCTTGAGAGGAAGTATGAGCTTAATATGTTTGCATTGAGCTCAGTCTAGTTGAATTCCACCATAGCAGTCGTGTTTGACTGTTATTTCTCCTAGAGAAAACGTGGATCAGTAAAAGTTTAGTACTGTCGACAAGTTCTACTTTCAATCACTTGACACTAGAAAATCTCAAATCTCAAAAGGACTGCAAAAAGGCACAGCATTAGCACCAATTAAACAAGTACTTGATTGTGCTCAGTGAGTCAATGATTCAGCACAGATTAACTGCGCACTTTGTTGTGTTACTTGGGGCCTCTACTCCCTTATCTCACACCTTCCGGACAGATTTTGTTAATCATGAAATTACATGCATTCATAGTTTTCTTTACCCACATTCCACATTCATCATGTCCCACATGAATCTTAAGGCATCAAAATTTATAAGGTGACATGTGTTGTCATCAGGTTTAAAGCATTCCAGCTACTTTAAAACGAAATCTTTCAATCTAATCTTTGAAGGCACAAGGTGCTTCGACAGTTTGCCTTCATCTGATTAAATTGTCAAAGAAGAAATCTACCTCTTTTGGAGCAGAGTTAATGCTCAAAACTCATTCTGTTTAAGCTCAATCTCAAACATTTTCCCACAATTTCCACTAGCTGCCGCAGCCAGCTTTTTTATTTATTTGTTTTGGTCAATGAACTGTAACACCTACTTTGTAGACAAGACGTGGATAAAGCCGTCTTATGTCCTTAAGTGGTATATCTGGTTATTTTATTATTGCTCTAATCCCTAAAAACTACGATTAAGTTTAACATCTACATTTCAAACCTTTCAAAGTTTCCAATTGCTTTGATTCGGGGCGAATTAAATTTAAGGTTTAGACTGCTTACAACCAGTGAGTTGCTTTTTATCAAGACTCTGGGCTTACTAAATCACCGACAAAGGTGATTCTACTTGGCTCAAGGCCTCACTGCCCAAAACCACCCTGTTTTGAAGTCAGTCTAAGACTTGGTAAAAAAACCTCGCTTCGGAGCTGAGTCAAGAGATATTGGATGCAGTTTTTTTAGTTACTGGCACGATACCTAACATAGGGAATTTCTTTGGTCAAGAAAGTCAGTCGAATCATATAAAACCCCACTTAAGCGAGTCAAGTGCTGGTCCATGGTAGTGCTTAGCCCTAAACACTTTTTTCCGAATGAGGCTACATAAATTTTGCCATTTCCTTGTTTTAAAAGAATTGCTAAAATTTTGACTGTGACAGCACAAAGTGGATCATTTTAGTGACCAAATTTTTGTTTTGTTCGGAAAACTGCAAAATAATAAAAGAGATTTTAGTTTTCCTTAGGAAGCCTGAGATTATTCAGCCACAACTCCTTTAACCTTCTCTCTGATGTTTTGTTATTTTATTTCGCTTGGGGTGACTGCAGGAAGCTGTAAAAATGGGAGAATTCAAGATTGATTTTAGTACCTCAAAGTGGATTTTAGACTCGAAATAAGATTGCTTTATTCGACTGGGTATGATGCGACAGTCCCTTTAATTGTGGGTAACGTTTGTTGCCGCTCAGATGTGTATGGCAAAGTTGAATGTTTCTTCAAACATGTGGATAAAACGGAATACGTTGCATGCTTGTTTGATTACTTAGTCATCCGAATCGCTATTGTACTTCAGCTAAGAGTCATGGCCTCCGGACCGTGCCAGTAGACCTTAGCCCTTTTGTAGGTCTGTAAGACTAGAGGTGTTTCAAAGGTGGTAGCTGAAAGCAAACCGGGTTTTAAAAGGCAAATGCGCTGTTTTCTACTTCTGAATGCTAAACCCCTACATGACGGATGAAGGACATGTGCTGTAAATAGAAAAATCGGCTACGACCCCCTAATATAAGGGTTGATATTCATGTCAACCTTCGGCAACTGCCCCAATCCCGTGTTGAGCTTAAAAGTTATCAACAAATGAAGTGGCACTAGCCATGAACCATCTAAAAAATATGTTATGGAGCTGTCTGCGTTGCCTGTATGAAAATATCGACTAAATAAACAAGAGTTACCTCCTCCACCTCTTACTGGCTGGCTAGAATCCAGACAGTTGTGTGGCTGAGCAGCACTGAAGTGGGAACAAAGTGGCTGGGAAGAATGAATTCAAAACATGGCCCCCATGAAACTATTTTCAACCCGCCCTTTATTAAATGACTCCACTTTTGGACCAGTGTTCCTACTACTAGTGATGAGCGTACGAGATGACCAGAGCCTTCCCCTTCCTCCGTACAGTTCCCATACGGGACAAAGCTCCGAATCCAACGGAATTGACAAGAGGGATTCGATAACCGGGACAGTTGGTTCGTGGGTGCTTTTTTCTTACAGTACCCGACTACGTTCAGATGGCTGACGCGATATGTTCACCAAGGGGAGAGTAACAGGCACAGTATTCAAAAGAAGGCAACTATGCCGTACCTTGACTATTTGTTTGGCTGGACTTTTTGATCACGCCATTTTACTTCCGCTAGATGGTATGGTCTCCGAAAACCACGTCAGTAGCCCCTCAGCTGCTCTATACATTAAAAAGACCTGAAACGCAAGAGAAAAATTGGAAAATGTATAATAACCTTACATTAAGATTAGTCTGGTAAGAGAAGGCTTCAGTACTAATTAGAATTTTGTAATATATGAAGCCTTTTGTACAATTTTAAGTTGGCAACTGTGCACTTAGCAAAATGACGCATCTTCTCAGTTCTTTTCTTATTTCCTTGAACAACAGCCAAAAATCTTTTGAAAAAGAAAACTAATCATCGACCTGACTTTTAAAGCCTTTAGACCAACTCATAGGCTAACTACGGAGCAGTAAGTGCAGGCTCAAAAACCGTTCTTAGGGAATCACACTCTCTTTGGTTAGACCAACTCAAGCCTCACTAATTCTCTCCAAACGGACCCTTAAAATAGAAAAAAAAACAATGAATGTCCACATATGTGGATTATTCTTTATGTATATGCTCTGGCTAATACAGCGAGGTACCCTTTCACTCTCCTACTATTGCAATCTGTCAGGTATATGAATATATTTGCATAATTCATCCTGGGGACCTCACTTGACACGGGGTAATGCATACTAATAAATGCATTACCAAGCTTGACAGCCACGCCTCACATGAGTCATTAAGGGGGACAAATATCTTCCCTACCCCACTCTTTCACACTCATTTGCCAAGGTGAGACGGGAGAAAATGTTTGGAGGAAACTTAAAGCTTTTAAGGTGATGAAGCACGACAGTTTTTCCGGTGTCTTAGACACCTCTTTTTCTCATACATATGTGCAGTTAGTGATATCGCCAGCTAGTTACCATAGTTCCCGGTGTTGGATACATGCGAAAGACTCCCTCGGCTGAGAAATGAGACAAATATAAAGTTTCTATTTTATCTACCAGTTTTGGTGAATAGATGGATTTATTAAAGCAAACTTTCATTAAGCAGAAAAACAGGAACTGACTAACCATAAGTTTTTCCAAGTATTTAAATGTACAGTAACGAGTTTTCAAAGGCTGGCCAAATTCTCCATCCTTTAATTATTTTTTGTACGCTTGCAGTGTCTGCTTGATTCATTGAATTTTGGGGTATTTTCCTTTTGATATATTGTAATTACTCAGATAAGAGGGACCAATGCGAAGCAAAATAGCCCGTCTTAAGGACCATTTGCTACTTGATCTTTTTCCAATGCATGAAAGGGCAGGTAAGTCAGTATTTTAGGTAATTTGAGCAAATGAAGACTAAAAAGCTCTGAGAGAAAATGTGCACGATTGAAAAGTTGGTCTTCTGTGGCATAGCCTAGGTTTCTTTTGGCTAAAGACAAGAATGAGGACAGCTCCAAGAAGATGCTCATTTTTAACAATAATGAATCATCCTGCAGATTTTGATGACCTCCTCCGCAATGGTACGTTTATAAGCCAACGGCAATTAGGATAACATCGAGTTTTTAAAAAGCCAATTACTCATTGCGATATGGTGAGGACCTTCTTAGGTCCGGCTCCAATTCGTTTGCTTTAGTGGGAGTAAAGCGAGCACCTAAAACCTTCAAAACTCCTGACATGCAGAGCTAACAGTTTCCTTCTATGAAGCTGCATCGTAGTATTTAACCAGTAAAATACTAATAATTGTTTACCTAAAGTGGGTACAGTTAAAGTGCCCCTGGAATACTTCTACAGTTATTTTCGAATGCATTACAGGACACAAAAGCGTGGGAGGAACTTAAAAATGACCGAGGCACTACTTTCGTGGGAAGTATAAACATGTTTCAAAGCCACCCAGTGAGCCAGCCGAATCACAGGAGACTGTAAGTACCCGATCAACATTAATAGCATTCTACCGCAGACTGTCGCATGCCTCCCACGCTAAATGCTTTCTCGTGATTCGTGATTCACATCAACATCAGTGTGAAATATAGTGACCTTACTTTGGGAGAACGTCTATCAAAAATAATTTAACGTTTCCGGAGGCGTGTTAGTCACCAGGTCCGAGTATAATCGAGTGTATAAAGACACGTAATTCATTAGGCCTTCTCCCTTATCCAAACTCACCACAGATTTAACTTGAATTTCGCGTAAGAGCACAAATATATAGAAATATAGAAAAAAACTTTATTGGGGGTGATTTTTAAACAGGTTCATGTTGACCGATGCCCTACACCAAATCCCCCCAACGTCGTGTCATATCCGGATTAGGAGCAAAGTGAAATCATAATTTTCACTTAAATAGCGGTTTGTATTCAATGCATTATATCAACTTAAGCATAAATAAGGTATTGTGCTAAAATACCCATCTATGTGATTATACGGGAATTACTTGTGGGACAACAGGGAGTCTATTTAAAAAGGCCAAATGTAGATTCCAAAGATGGAATTTAGGAATCTTCAGCATAGGCTTTCCATCTTTGATATTTGGGGGTGGTATCCAACCCATAAAATCATTATTTTTTGACTTTTAAATCGGGCTTGATTTTTATTGCCACCTTTGCGGTACCTGAGTCCTTCCTGAATACGATATGTGTGCATGGGTCTAGGTGCAATATCATGATGAAAGTAAAGAAGGTTTGGAAGGTTGCTAAGTTAGAAGACATGCAAAGAACCCCAAAGTGGTGGCCAAAAATGTGGAAACCAAAGAGTTTGCACATTTAAAAAGACAAATGCTATCCTGTTGCAAAGATTTTATTTTCTTTTTTACGCCTACAGCAACAAAGCTGGTGCTGTGTAAGTCTACCCTGAAATCAGGATCAAGGCTCATGTATTTGTTACTTTCAAGACATGGAGACATATAATCCCATAGATGATGCCTCATCGCTTTGCGTCCGATGGATTCAGAGTTGCGGCTGCTTTAGCAATCCCTTAGCTGTAATGCACTGATTATGCACCGCTTAAGGCGGAGTCGGTGCGCCACAAGGAGTGGACTTTATGCTTAAGTAACTACAAACCTTTAATAAAGCACAGTCATTTGTCAAAATACACTATGCCAATTCGCCTTTGTCACCCTGGCCTCATTTAAATGCCGCAGCTCCATGCGGCTTCTTGAAGTGGTTAAGGTGTGGCTTTTAGCTGTTTGAAAATTTATCATGTGAATGCCGCCTAGGCAGTTTTATAACGTTCCAACTTAACGTGTCAAACACGATCGAATGCGAAATGTGATGGTATCACAAATTTTTTTAAGTGAAAGCTAGCATACGAGCTTCGAGTATCCATTCACACGTCAACTCAAATAATTTGCGTTAGTGGACCGTAAATAATTCCCTTAACCTCCCATAACTCAGATACATATAACAAAAGTTGGTATTAAGTCAAATTTATTACAACTATAGTTTTCATTGACTCCATGGAAATTTTAGAACTTAGTCATTAAAGGAAGATTAAAGAATGATGAGATTTCTTCGTAGAAACGTATCGGATTCGGAACATTTGCTTGTAGTTAGTAAATAGAGAAGATGCATAATCTTGACATTTTGTTAGGAAATTTTCAACTTTTTAAATAATTATTACTTTGGGCATTTGAAACCGCCCAAAGCTGGGAAAATTTTGCCGAAAAATGAAACAGCTGGAACACACAAACATATGGTACAGACCTTTGATGTGACTTCTAAAAATAAACTTGTTGGTCATTAGCAAATAGTCCAAAAGTCTTTCCGAAGGTATATAAACCTTATTCTACTGAGTGATGACGTAAGAGCAAAGATTAAGCACTGAGAACAAGACTATGACATCAGCTTCTATTAAAACAGGAAAATGTAATGCTTCATTAAAGTTTGTATTTCAAAACTGTTGAGGAGTCTAGGACAATCAACGTCGTTTTATGGTAGTTGCAATCATTATAAGTAGTGTCCTAAGTCTTTTTTGAAGACAAATAAAGACATGAGCAGAATATGTTGCAGAAGTACAGAAGGGCTGAAGGTTTCATTGACTTGGTACAAAGGTGATGCCGCCCCTTGGAAGTTCAGATGTCGAAAACCTAAGTGCCCGCAAAACCAAAACGAACAGTTAAGCTAATAATCGAGGTAAAATAAAGCCTTCTTTCTTTTGGACCCTCGCCTCTGGAGCTAATCTTAATCAACCTTCCCAGTCGGCCACGACATCGTAGTTGATGCTGTATGAAAACATCCACGAATCAACCGTGTCGGTCATCAAAATACGTGCAACTAAAGTGATACCTGAATGCCGTGTCATTGATGCCTATTAACAATTTCACTAAATCTGGAGTTTTGTCCTGTTTGGAAACTGTATTAGGGGAAGGAAAAGGGATTGTTTTCGCCCATCGATAGTGCTGTCCAGCCATTTGTCTACCTTGTTTCTATCCAGCTAGTGGAGAGATAAAAAGGGAATCGAGTGTTTACTTTGCTGATATTTTCGCACAGGTGCCGGAGACAGATCCGTAAGGGAACTTTTCAGGGTATTTTACGACCACAGATGTTGTCACTTCAGTTGTTAAGAGCATTTCTCCAGCCCACAAGACTGGAGCGTTTGCCAAAGGCCGACAAGATTATCAACCCTTTTGCTGGAGGTCCTTACAGATTCTCCCATCTGCTGCACGTAGTCTTCTTTCTTCACGATAAGGTTTGGCGCTCATAGATGGAAATCAGGGTATCTGTCCCTTAGGGTTGGGTTCACTTTTCATTGCTACCAATGTAGAGCCTCGGGTCTTTCCCTAAGACGATTGAAGGTATGGTACTAGGGCAGAATATGCATTGACGACGCACAGAAGGGGTGGGAGGCTACAGGCCTTGCCTAGAGGCCATGCTACTTGTTGGAAGAACAAAAGGCGAAGCCTCAAGTACCCGCAAAGTCAAAACAGAGTTAAATAAGTCATCAAAGTACTACATATGTACCATTTTTGTAAGAAATACTAAAGTATAGTAGTTTGAAGCCACTGAAATTAAAGATGCTGAAGGATTAATACGTCATGTCACACGATACGGGGCAGGACTTGGAGACTTGAGCCAAGTCTTATGCCGCGATATTTGAAGCCTGAGCACATGAAATCAATGAGGGCTTGCATAGGCCAATCTAGAGCTAAATCGAGCCTATTTCTGTTGCCGAATCATTGTCGCCTTGTCCTTGACACCTTATCCTCCATCTCAATTAATCAGTGGCATTCAGCAGTAATAAAGGATAGGAGAGAATAAATCAAGATCTTTTCCCAGTTGTTAAGAATCGTTGATGATTGCCTTAAGTTCGGGACATATTCCACGTAATTCACAAGCAAATCACTTGTTGTTAGGGCAGTTTGTATTGTATTAAGCTATTTTAAATAATTGTCCTGTGTAGAGTAATTTCCTGGAATCTCGTCGTTCTGATTTCATTCCACACTAGCTTCTTATTGCCATTTTATTACTGCTTTATCCCCAAATTCGTGCGACTTAGGAAAGTAAGGTTATTGCAAATGGCAAAAATCGAGAAATTCCTAAAACGCTTGTTTGGTGATCTCTTGAGAGACCTTTTTTTTCTATGCTAATTTCATAATTAACTAGGCAATTTATGCAGACACCAGCATCTCTTGAAGCGTCAACGAAAGAAATCGCATTCTTTGTAATGAGTAAAAGGAGTCGGGAATATCCCACTGCGCTATTGCCCTTGCAGCGCCAGAAATGCTTCAAAATAAGTAGGGTTTATGCGTCGCGACGCAGATCTAATAGAGTTGACTGTTAGCATGGGGGGTAAGGGCCGAGCCCTAGGCTATAGAGACTCCCGAGATTATAAAAGTCTGGGAAGAAAAATATTCATGCGCTTTATTGTAAAATTGGCTGTTCAAAGCATAAAGAATACTGTAAATGCTAAAAGGTTTAGAAGCCCTGTAATTTAAGCGGCACGGCTTGTGTGATATGGAGTCAATCAAGAGTTGTTGCTAGAAAAGAACTTCTGCCACCACGCTATTGACCAACTGTCAACCATTCCTCACCAACCTATTAGCTGGGGTCGTTTATATTATAAAACAGTGTCCTAACTGACCCCATTTTACTGAGAAAAGGACTTCCGCAAGTTGACATTAATGGTTTAATCTACACCAGAAAATACGATTGTAGTCTTAAAAACGAGACCGTGAGAGTGGTAACACAACACGACAACGGAGTTTATTCTAATAAGTAGATATGTCTCCTTTTGTATACCGACAAGAATTCGAAATGTCTGATTGACGTCCACCGCAGCCTTTCAAGTACTCACGCTAGTGTCCAGATTTTAGTGCCTCTAACCTTCACACCTGCGTTCCCCCACTGGAAGGCATCAACAAATTTCGTTACCCGCACCACCTGGTTCCAATGACTCACGCTCTCTGACTGTCATTAACATTTCGCTTGGGTAGGCCGAAATCAGCACCGGTGTTTGCTGAACCTTCTCGGCTCTAAAAAGACAGACATAGTAAATACCGGTTTTCCTCGCGGGTGCTAATTATGATGCAAAAACCAGTGTAAACATCACATTTCTGAGCTAATTCTAGTGAATTTATGCAGAAAGATCATCAGTGAATAATGAATAAAGGCTCTTGAGCAGCATCTTAATCACCAAACAGAAATCTGAACCATAAAATGCTATTTCAGTAGAGACAGCATTTTCAGTCGTTTGATTACTTCGTTTAAATCGGACTTTCTTAAATTATTTCAATGGGTTTTTAACTCCCGCGTCCTAATGGAGCATGACATACCATTAAACTAGTTTCTAGTGGTTTATGGCATCAAGCAGATTTGTCTATCGCTTCCAGTACATTTAATAGTTCAAAGTTGGACTGGACTTTGTTGGAATAGCTACACTTTTTAAGGAGAATTGTCGTGTCAATGTCAGTATCTGATTAGCCCTGTCAAATTCATCAAAGCAAATTAAAGTGATAAAAATTAAGTCGAAGATTTAAAACATCAGGTTATGCTGCAGCATCTTGAGCCCTCGGTGTGGTCACAATAAGCCAGAGTATTATGGAGGAGTACATTACTGACGTGAAGAAGGAGGGAAGGGAGGTGGAAACCGGCATGGGCCAAAGGCCATGCTGCAGAACAGAAGTCTAGGAGATTATAAAGTTAAAAGTACAAATTTATTTAATGCTCAACGCGAAAAATGAAACTGTTTACAACTACAGTGACTGAACGAGTAGAAGAAACATTTGAGCAAATGAGTCTCTTTCACATGCCACCAGCCAACAGATGACGAGCAATAAGGTTCAAAGAATAATTCGCTTATTTCCCCAATGTCTAAGGCGAGTTATGTGACAACTAAACTGGCCTGTGATGAGACGTGGCTTTTATATTGCAGCGTTCGTTAGGAGAAAGATACTATCTTCGGCCACTCTCAAGCGACCTAATGCTCACAATCCCCACACCACTCACTCCAAAGTTCCAAGGTACGGAACTCTTCATCTCCGCAAGACTATGTTTTTGGTGTGGGTATGATGATGGTGGTAGATTGAAGATTGAATTTCTCAATTGATGAAGGTCAAACCAATACAGCTTAGACCCATCTGCGCAATGCAACTGGTTACACTGAGCCTCTACGTTCAAGGCTCTGGAACCGCATTTAACTCATTCATGGAAGTACTAGGCGAGCTCACATCGGATTGTTCAGGTTCAGCCGATACTGTGACGTGAGGGTGGGTTCAGAATAGGCGGATGGCAGTAGAGGGGACGATAAATGGTATCGAACCGACAGATTGGCGCATATTTACGTGTTATAATAAATGCATTTTACAAGCCTCTATCAGTTATAACCGGTTATTGAGGTGAGTAACTTCCATAAATGAAAGAACCTTCGCGACTACTCAAAAATTTTAGTGTTATGGCAAACTATGGCAACTGCAGCATCTTAAGCCACATTCAACAAAACGTACTCCATTTATGTAGTACCACTTTTAAAAAGTTGTTTTATAGTGCTTGCTATTAAATTAGACCACGTAATGTAACAAGCTCAGTGCTTCCCTTTTTCAGCACAAACTTCATACTCTTTAAGCGCTCTGACAAGTTGGAAGAGGACCTTTTAATTGGTAGAGATAAATAAAGCGGTGCGGCTGTCACGATTTAGGTGGGTTTGGGGCGCGAATCCTTTTTAAGGGCCGAAAGCGTCCAATTTGTCACGGGGTCCATATTTGCTGACCATCCCTTACACAATAATTCTTGAATGCATTTCTCCCCCCTTTCGGAAAGTTCTGCCCCCCTCACTCCCTCACTAACTGTTGTGACAACTTTCTAATTGAAAACATTTAGCAACACTGTCCAGCTTCCAGTCATTCGGTATGTTTTTATGGAGAAGAAATTGTCCGAAACATTCTTCCTGAAATTGGATTGAACTGCTACTTCCACGTATTGGTTCAGATTAAAATATTTTATTTATGAAGGCCTCTAAAATACCATACTTGTACGCCGATGTTTACTTTTACTCATCGTTGACTACATGGGACTGAAGGTGATATGGTTGAAACATTCTTGCTAATATCACTATCAGTGATCAGAAGCAGCCGAGGTCTCTAGACCAGTGGCCAAGGTAACCGAAATTTGCCCATAGGCCCTAACCTTACTGGGAGGGTCCACCTTTGTGTTTACTTCAGTTTCAAATTGTCAATGTGTTTAACTGTTTAATAGTGGCATTCGTGGTGATATCGGTCTAATGAACTTGAGGAAATTAAGCTGAAATATTATTTTGACGTGCGGCTATTTAGACTAACTCTATGAAAAATCGAATGTTTTAGTTGTTAGCTATGCGGAACTTTTAAGCCACCTAATATTATTCCAAAACAGCTTTTACAAAATCCGGAAGAATAAGAGCAGTACTTTGATTATTTGTTTAATGCATTATTTTAGTTCTAAGATCACTTAAAGTTCTTCCTTTGTATTTACACTGTGTGGCGTGGCCCTGGGACATTGCCAATGGCACTTAGTTCCTCCGTGGGTCCACAGTATATATTCTATTCTATGCCGATACTTATATTATGTATTATTATATATGGCATTCCTCCTTTCGTCTTCAGGGAACGGAAAGCCAATTCAGTCCCAAAAGACAAGTACCCTGATCTGCATTTTTTGATGGTAAACGTTAACGTGGTGGAAGAAAGACATATGCTGAGGATGGGAAAATCTTTGACGACCCCTAAACTAAGGGTTAAGAGTGAGGCTTACCCCAACCTTATGTTCTGCAGGAAAGCTACTAACTAAAGTGACACTAGCTGTGACCGTAAACCGTCTGGAAAAGTTTGGTATGGAGCTGTTTACGATATCCTTATGGAGACGTCAAGTAAGTGAACACATGACATCTCATCTGTCTCTCCACTAGCTGGCTGGAACCCAGATAAGCATACTGCTGGGTAGCATTGAAGTGAGAACAATGTATCAGGGAAGTGTACTCACGGAACCTTATCTCCAAGATGCAACTTAAACTCTGTCCTTTACCAAATGGTTCTACTCTTAGACCAGTATTCTTATGGCTATTGATGGCCATACAAGATGGCTAACACAATCTCATTCCTCCAATACCTTTTTTAACGGGACAGAACTCTAGATCCCTTGTAAATTGCCAGGAGGCATCTGTGACGTCGCAGTCAGGTATCGCTTTATCTACACGCAGTCTTGATGACTAAGGCGGATGGTTCGTGGGTACTTATTTTGCAGCATCGGGTGTAATGTGATGGCCGATTCTGGGTAGCGCCAGGGACAAAGCTAAAAATAAGAAAATGCTATGTTGTACTTCGATTATTAGCTCAACCCTTCGTTTTAATTTTACGGGTGCTCTAAGGCTTCGCTTTAACACTTCAGCAGGACGGGTGGCCTCCGGCCGTGCCGTCAGCATCCAATTCGTCGATGCATAATCCGCCCAAGTATTTTGACCCCTTATGACTTCATTCTAGTCTTGGGAAGCTCCATAAATTTTGAGGGCTAACCATTGCATATATTTAGGCGATTTTACATAACCTTACCATTGAAAATGATCCAAAATGTTTTCGCATATTTTTGTGTAAGGTATAATTTGTTGTCATGCAATCGGGTTCAAGAAATAAATACGACCAAAATAGAATGTTAATTTTATGATAAATTAAAAAAAAACAAATGGAAGCAAGTTTTTAGTGAATCGATTCTACACACTCAAAGAGGAAGTCACTGAAACAAAGCAGTAACTCTGGACAGAACGACAAAAGAAAAAGAAGGTGTTCTCTTTCTTAGTCATTTTGACAATATGTTTTTAAGTTCCTTTTATCTTATTCGTTCTCTTTTCAAGGCTTCGGTGAAGTTATCGACTTGTCTTTGCGAAAAGTTATTAAATTTGGCAAAATAATGATGATAATCTACAGTGGCTGGTTTATTTAGTGTTTACATACCCTTTCTTCCCAGGGACCAAAAATAATAATTTCCTTCTTTTATAATAGCTTATGAATGGGTTTGGTGAGTCTCGATTTCACCGTAAGGTAACAAGTTGTGAACAATTGTACTGGGCTCACCATTTTACATTCTTTTTACCCAACATACTCTGCCTTTTAGGTAGTCGGACAATTGCTAAACATAGAAGGCTGCAGAAACTGTCAGTACTTAATCAATCAGGAGCCTTCATTTGTCAAAAGTGAAGTGTTCCAGCAATTCATCGATAACCGTGCCAATTTGATTTTAATCACACTGGTTTACTCGCATGAAGTAGATCCATCCCTTTATTATTTACTGACCCCTCCTCATTTTGTTTTTCCTATCTGTAAAAAGTGGATTGTTTACTAGAAAAACTCCAGCTGCTGTCATTTCTCAAGCCTATGTCACGTTTAATTCAAATCACTGCTTAAGATTCAATGGAACTGCTAACTTGTCGTTTTCGCATGAGACGAAACATTTAAAACGAAGTTGAAATTAATCAGACCAGGAAAAGCATGTAGTTGAACCCAGGCCAGCCAGAAGAGAGAATCGAACATGGTTTAAACTGTATGAGGAAGGTCAAGCAATTAAAAGTGAAGGGCAGTAAAGTGCACCTGCATAAAGGATTCAGAAAGCGGTGTGTGGTGTCCCTCAATCTGGAGTGATGTGTAGGCATTGACCGCCAATCACCGAGGGTCTTTTTATTGGAAAAACAAAATCTTTTCAAGATTTTCATGTAAATTACACCAACAGCAATGTTACCGTGAATGACTTAGGTATATGATGTCAAAAATCTAGTTTATAGGTTTTTAAATCTATGGGAGGGGAATCAAAGGTAATCAGATTTATACATACCTCCACTAAGGAGAAGCTTAATTAAACTGTCGCATCCGAGCCATCCCTGAAGATGCTATAAAGTAACGCGACACCTGAAATACTTTAATAATGAACATTCTGTAGTTGAGACTAAAAATTCAAATTCAAAATGGCCAATTCTACCACAAACTACTCATAAAGATACTGACAAAAGTTCTGATTGAATATATACTGCTTTTCCGTCCCAAAAATTTCAAGCAATCATTACACTTACAGTAAAACTGTACTCATCAGAAAATAATGGCGTAATTGCATCGTTCTGAGAACTTTTTGAAGACTGAAAAAGACAACCTTAGAGCAGACTGTGTAAGTGTGTTCCGACCTAAATCCTACGGCATGCAGTAGGACCTAAGCCTACTGACGTGGCTCGGTCAGGCCGGTTGTCGGAAGTACAATGGCGGAGCACTAAATGGTCCGTTACAAAACGAAGGCCGAAAGTACTAAACAGACCCTCTCCTCTTTTGAGCTTCATCCTAGCCTTCCTTTTGGTCATACTCCTTTGTTAAACTTAACAAAGTATTCGGTGCTGTACACAAAATACGCACGACCCAACTATGCCAATCATCCAATGAGTGTGCAACTGAAGTTTCTGACCGCAAAGTCACTGATCCCTCTTGGCGATTCCACTGAACGCAGAGTCTCGACTTGTTTGGGAATTGTATCTCGCAAGAATACCGACCCAAAGCGGAATTACTTAATAAAGGACGGGATTGAAAATAGTTTCATAGTTTTGTGCCTAGTACACCTTGTTTACATTTCAGTGCTGTTCAGCCACATGCCTATCTGGGTTCACTTTGCTTATTTGAGTAGAAATGGAAGCATCAACTGTTTATTTAACTGGCGTCTTCAAAGAGGCATCGTAGCCAGCTTCGTAACGAACTTTTTTAGATGGCCCACGGCCAGTCTCACTTTAGCTGTTGATGTCTTTTCTGTAGAGCATGGGCCGAGGTAGTTGCTGAGAGTTAACTTTATTCTCAGCCTTTTCGTTAGGAGTCCTCATGGTTAATCCCATCCTCAGAATAGGTTCTACTCCCGCCACGCCAAGGTTTACCATCCAGCATTAGAAACCAGGGTAGTTGTCCTTAAAATATGGCTAGCCTTCCGCTACCACCAAATTAACCTCCCGAGACTTCTCTGATGACAAATATAGGCATAATTACTTGGGCAGAATATGCATTGTCAACATCCAAAATAATTTTGCTGCTACTGGCACGGGCTGCTCATCGGAGGTGCAAGGTCGCGGTCCTAAGTTGTCTTTCGCCAGAATCAAGATTTTAAAAAAAAATCAAAACGGTACATAATTCGTATCTCTAAAGTTCGTCGTAAAGTGACTTTGACAGGTGATACGAATTTAAACAAATTTTATTAAGAGTGACAGATGTGAGCGAATATGGGGTCTCGAAATCAACATTTGAATCTTGTAAAGTGATTCACTACCCCCCTTTAATTACCTGTTGAAATACGCGGGCAATTCAGTCTTTAAGTGTCGTGCTTTCGACCTGCCGCATGGCCTTTGTGCTATGCTACTAGTCTTTAGACTCTTCGGCGCGACCTGCCATACTACTTAGAGGAAGACTCGGGTCACTACACTTGTGGCTAACTGAAACATCCTTAACCTGATTTAATTCCCAGCCAGCAGGAATCCTTGTAAACTAACCAAATGAAAGTTAATTTGAATATGTTTTTTGGCTTCATATTCATTTTGTGTCAGAAAAGTCATTTAAAATGCGCAATTAATAAGATGCCTTTAAAAAAAACAAATATTTATGTGTGGACCTTAATCTCCACGGTATAAGACATATGTAGACATGTTAGTCCCTAACTATGACATTAATTTTTTTAAAAGGGATGATTTGTGTATTTTAAATTAAATTTGGTCTTTTATTTGCTGGAATTGTTTTACTCTTTCGTGGTAAGTTTTTGTAAGAGATTGCAGTCTTAGTGCGTGAGTGTTTTTATAGAAAACTGCTTTTCAAACTCATGTTGTCAAATTAGTCGTCTGACATTATCAAAAAAAATCTGTCTCACTTCTTATGGGCTTTAAATGCACTTTGATTCAATCCTACTCGAGGTTTGACTATAATAAAAAAATCTTTCTACCCTCAATCACTAATCTTTTTGGAAAATAATAGCTAATTCGAATTTAAGATTCGTCTTCACTTTATCGCAAATGGTAAATAGCAATGTGATTAATGGGTGTCCGGGACAAATTTGCCGCTCTAAGGACGCTGTAATAGATAGCAGAGCTATAGCCGACAAACCTAAGGCATACTACTTTCTTAAAAGAATGAGCAAAATATATGTAAGATGTGGTGCCCAAGTTAATGGAGTTTGTTGAATACTTGAAGTCCATTTTTTATAGTTTGATAAGAAATTGTTCAAGAGCTTAGTTTCGCAGCTACTTTTCTATCTTCACTCTAAAAGTTATCTTGGATCACTCATGGTTGGCGTTGCATTTCTCCTCCTCCCTTCCCTCAGTAATTAACTCATGAGGCATCTTGACAATAGTAGATAATGTCTCAAGTAACACCGATTCGCTCTTACACCATGAAGGCAAATAACAACTCAAATGAAACGGATCTATTTAGTTACTCATTTATTTATTTGTCCTTTTGCCCATGCATTTACTTCCTAACAAATATTATTAGGAAGTCAAGTTATTCTGTCAGGTCACTGGCTTCAGCCGATTTCTTATTCAGACCATTGTTAAGATCACAAATGTGGCCCAGTTTTCTTCAATTCATCTATGTATCTTACTCGTATTCACCGGCAACGCTCGCCAAATACCGAACTTCGTGCAAGATGGAGTTCTTGCTAAAAATGAATAAAATGTCAACTTCCAAGGGTCTCCCGATGAAACATCACCCATGAAAAATTGGTGGTGATTCGACTTTGAAATACGCGGATCACAACGAATTGCTACTTTCATTGTTACAACCCAGACTTATAGGGGTTTCCCTTGATACGGGATAGTAGTTATGCAGCAGAACGGTATCTGTACCTTGGTGCCTATGTATGCAAGCTGGGGTATCACTACAGGTGAAAAACAAATATTCCAACCTCGGATTCCTGATTTGCACTTGACCTGAATTCTAAGACATTTTCTACCTCCACAGTTAAAATAAACAGTCGAGTGAAGTGTCTTTGTAGTCAAACGCGACATAGACAGGTGTTTAACCCCTTTGGAGGGTTTAAAGAGACAATTTCAAAAGTTACAGCACCTCATTATGGCAATTATTTGGTAATTATTTATTATTTGGTACTTTTTATTTGGAAAAGTACCCATTAATTGCAAAATATTTGTTAACCTGTGGTAAGCGAATTCAGCAGTGAGTATTCTCCATCTTCGTATTTTGCGAGGTTGTTAAGTTTCTAAACAGGATTGGATGGAGATTAAATTTGCCTCTTAAAACCTGAGTTCTCTGCTTTTTAAAATAACAACTTTAGAAGAAACCTTTGTGCCAGAATCCAGTAGGGAACTTTTAGACTTACTTAACACTTAAATCATCAGCCGGACTCCATAGTTATGTAACGCGGAACTACCGGTTGGCCAAATTGTATCGCTTGTATACTTGTCGAGTTTAAAACACAAAAACTAGTGTATGACTCCCTCGACCTCGAACTGCTTAAAATTTTGGCTTTAATATTATGGGATTTCCTAAACAAAGTGGTATTAGAGCAGCGAACCAATTGGGCCGTGATGGTAAGGTCTTCTCCAGGACTACGGCACTAAGAAGCCATTAAACGTAGAATTAGTAACTGCAGCCTTGTTCGCAGCTACATAAGTTCGTTGTAAATTCCTGAGTCTAATCTGCCTATAAAATATTCCCTCTATGCCCAAATGAGTTCCTTAAATTTTGTTAAGAAGGATTTCCGTCGAGTTTTCTACACTTTTAAAAGGAATTACTGGGGTTTTACCATTAACCTTTCCTTTTTATGTGAGGTATAATTTCGAATTAAAAATCTCGTGTCGCTTTAATTAACTTAACTAATAATATGGTTTCCTTTAAATCAGAAACAATCTACACACTTACTCAATTTCTACTTCTTAACGAAAATTCTGCACACTTAATCGTACATATTTTCCTTGCCCCCTCTGTGCCCAGATAAACGACATTGTGAACCAGATAAAACAACCTCTCGTTTGTCTTTAGATGGTTGCTATTTGACAAAGAAAAATCAAAGTTGGTTGCTGGCTGATTGTTTGAGAAGTTTTTCTTGAATAAGTAGACGTTATTACACCGATTTTGTTCCACCAGCTTTGGCTCCCTCTTTGCGGTACAACAGAACAGTAAACAAACAAACGGACATTCCTTCTCCTTAATTATAATGCATATTAAAACTGTAAAAAGTAAGCTTTTTAATTTCTAACGTACACTTTTAAATCACCTAACCCATCCAGTTGTGTATGTTAGCGTAAGTGTTAGCCACTAAATGAATCATTTATTGTGCCAAGGTTCTCCTACTGCAACCATTGTTTTACCTTACATCAATTTTTTTCATAGAAAGATATTCTCAAAGTACTTAGATCACATAGACATCATCTTCTTCCGCATTGCCAACCCTTGAAATGTAGAAACCCAGTTTTAGTAGCCCATCCCCATGACTCATGCTCGCTGTCCACCAATCACACTAGCCCTCGATCCAGCCTTCAGCATTCGGTCAGACATGTCGCAGTCATACATGTACCGCATTCGGCGAACGATGGCACTGCGTGTCGGTAACTTCAATGGGTTTGTTGCTTTATGGTTTAGTGAGGGCTTTGCAGTAGGGATGATAAGAAGGCCAATGCACGTAATATAACCGCTGGAATCAATCACCAAAGACAAGTTAGTGGTCTGGATCGTGTTTTTCTTAATCCTCCTGATTAATATCAGAGTATTCCAGAGGCAAAGTCAGTGTTTACTTGGCTTTGATTGGTTAAAGATGAAGTTTTACTACGAATTGTTGGTGTCGCTTGAAATTTATACTAATGAATGGATATGAATGATTTTTAGACCTCCCTATACTTCTGCTATGTGAATTTAGAAAGCATTTCTACCTGTACTGAGAGAAAATGGTTTTTTTTCACAAGGCTATTACTACAGCATTAATCCAAGATATCAATATTATGCCCTCTATAAAAACAAATAGTAGATGTCAATGCACTTCCACGTCATCCCTGGTTATCGCCAACGTCAAGGAATAATAATACTTAAAAATAACGAAGATCTAAACATACATTTATCTTAAACTTTTAGTCACCTCCAAAAATGTATGTCCATTGATTTAGTCGCCACAATGGTACACAACGGATTCATTTGCATATTTGGTTGACTGAGAATTCGTATAACAATACACAGGACGTGGTCGTCCCCTCAAATTACAATCCCTACCTCTTCATTTGTTGTAAATCGGTAAGCTAATACCCAGTAAATCTCACTTGAGAGATCATACTACATACTTTATTCAATCAAAAGCACTACTTACACTTCAGAAGGTGATAGAGCTACTCGGGAATTAAAGGAAAGCGTTCTCGCGATCAGAGCAGTGCATATCTGTTAGCAAATCAAAGTTTACTTTAACTGACATCTGGGTCTCAGAGTTGTCATAGATGATTAACGGAAAATCTCATCATAGTAACAGAAAATGTGTTGAAGAAAGAACATCCAGAGATACAAACGCAGCACTATGTTCGAAAGTAGCTGAGAGTGAACACGCACCATGCAGCAAAATCAAGCATCTGAACATCTGGTTGTGGTGTTCGAATCTTGTTTTTGTGTAATTTCACCACGTTTACTCCATATTTTCGACACTTATAAAATGTTTATACCTCCTCTTTGGTCTGTTGACTGCTGGTTTTAGTGAAGCCGTGTTAACGAAATTACTTCGTAAACACTCAAAACGTGCACAAATACTCGTTTACTTCCACCCGGCAGCATTCTGTGAGTGTCAGGATTTCCCCTTGAAGCATTTTGACCACTGAAATTGGTCAAATTTGTACATGGAAAAACAGGAAAGCAGTTGATTCTACTCATAAAACACGATTGAAATTGGCATCACGATAAAAATAGCAGAAGACCCTGATAAAAGCTTAATACGTAAATGTGACTAAAATGATTAAAAATCCGTCTACTGTGTTAATAAACTAACTTCTAGAAGAACGCTCTGTTAGAATAAAAACAAATCAAGGTAATAAACGACTGTGATCCATTAGTTCGCCGTAGCGCGATAGGCTAGAAGCCTTTGAATTAAAAGAATCAACAGTGGTAATCGGTTAATATCTCCAACAATCCTTAACCGAAGGTACCAAAAGTCATGATTAATGGATAGTTGAATATTACAAGGATGCATATAAATTTACAAGTAGCCTCTGTTGCGCGTCCGAGGCCTAACAAAACTGATCACATATATCAACTCTGATTCGAACCTTACTAAACCCCAACCGAGTTGAGAGATCCTCACTACGCAAATTGTTATTTGGGGTCGAGACACTGCGTCCAAAAACACGAGGTCCTAGGCGTCGACATAAAAAGACATAGCGCAGAAGCCAGACTCGCAGTTGCATAGCATCAGGAAGGTATCGACTATTCTCCTTGCAGAGAAGATTTATAAAGTGGAAATCTGTTCGTGTGAGTCCAGGAAGGTAGGAGAGACGGAGGTTGAAGACATCTCGCCTTGCAACGAATAGTGAACCTCGTTGTTGCATTCGTGCCAGGGCGAGTAGATGAATATAATCAGCGAAAAAGTTCTCTTCACGTCGACTAACCAAGCTTGCAGCCAGGTCAGACTGAAGGTCAAATTGTGCACCGCAGGCAAGTGTAGATTCACTGTAGACACGAATATGTGAGAAATTTTGATAAAAGAAAACTCCTGAACAGATTAAACCAGCGAGACCTAAGACACCTAGACAGAAAGCTGTCATGTTGAGCGCGAAGGTTGTTGAAGCTAGGCAGATGTGAAGAGTGGTCGATTTCTCCGTTGGACGACAATAGAAACTTCCGGAAAAGGGTTCCCCGTAGGTGACTACTGAAAAACCCAAAATCAGAAGGAAGGTAGTTGCATTAAATAGGGCGAGGACTGTGTGCTTTGCAATAAATCGACGAATGTAAAAATCCGTGTTTTGCCAACCGGCGAGGAAGATATTAAGTGCATGATCATCCCGACTGACTCGCAGCCTTGGTAAATGCATCACTACGGCAGAAGGCAGGTCCATTTCCGATTCATAGCCAGTGTCAACAGGAGAGACAGTATTCTCCATTTTCGGAATTTGAAAACTCCCCAAAGGTTCCGTAAGTGTCGTCTCGTCACTACTTCGACGCTGGGTGGGTGTAGGACGAGTGGAACCCTTAAGTCTAATTTCCTGGATCATTGGCATGAAATTAGAACTAAGTGGGACGGTGCTGATACTCGATGCAATGGAGATGAGTTCGCGCTGAGCAGTTTTTCGAAAGCTCCTAAGTTCAGAAGCCACCAGAGAGGCGTCACGATAGATGGAGTGTCTAATCGCCAGACGCCAACACAGATGTGGGATCCAGTTCAGCAGGGCGATGAGGATTAAAATTATCGGGAAGCATTCATGCTGAAGGCTTCCTGTTATGCGCTCGTCGTTATCCGCGTCCTTTGCACCCTGGAGAATCACTTGGATCAGTTTTGCTCGACACACCTGATTGACGAACTTGTTGGTGGAGCCAACAATCACCTTGATCGGTCGACAACTAGCAAAATCGGTGAAGGAGTGGACAAGGAAGAAACATATGCCTAAAGTTAGAGGTAGAATCACGCCTAGCAGAAGAAGCACCCTGTCAATCCACAGGGTAGTTTTTAGCCGCTTTAAAAGATGGATTGATGGGGTCTCCTGTCTGGACTGTTGAACCACACGACTGGGCTGGGACATTCCAGACAGAGGACAGGGTGGAGAGAACCCAGGACGGTTACGTGCAGCTGAAGGTATCGGAGTTTGTTCTCTTCTACCATTGTCGTCACCGCTTATTCTGCTGGTGACGTCTCTATCTTCTTCACGTCCATTAGTAAGGAGAACAGTGATTGGAGAGCCAGAACTATCCGAAGTGAGGGTTGCAGTCGAAGGCGAAATGAAGGGCTTGCCCCTATCATCTGTGAAACGTGATGGGTGAATCTCGTTACCCGAGTCGTTGTTGAGTATGGCGTGGATTTCGGTGATGTGATGAGCCAAATTTGAGGTGGGGGCAAGACTGACTGTTGCCGTGGCAGCCCCATTCAGCATAGCGACAGTGCTGTACCACTTCTGAAGACAGGCACGTGTGCACCGGCTGCTCGGTTGCGTGTGCGCATTTGTGCGTGTGACTGTGTTTAAGGCCGTGTCCAGCCAATCTAAAATGGGGCTTCGCTGACCAATGGAAAGATGACAGTCTTCAGCCTCCAATTTCCAGGTCGAGGCAGTGTTCTCAGACGCCCACTTCCCACAGGCACTGAAGAGTGAGGTGATGGGTTCCATATGGTGCAAAAAGGTGTACAACCAACTTTCTTCTAGACTAGAAATATGATGAGGGTATCTTGAGTGTACTTTGTGACACCGTCTACAAATGTTGCTGCATGAACGCAAACAAAGCTAATTGGAGTCACTTGGCTACTAACTTTTCGTCTATAAAGGAAAATAAACTCATTAAAACGTGCCTTCGTGTAGTTTTCAGAATATTAAGTCAAACCTTGGTGTTTAGAGTACCAGTGAGAGGTGAATGTCAAAAAGAATTCGTCCAAGTTTGGGCATAGCGTGGGGTAACGACTTGGCTTAATTGGCAGGGGTTTTTGAAACCCAAGCGGTTGTTCACGTTGATGGATTATAAAGCAAGAATTCAAATCATTTCTCAGTATGGTACTCTATTTTATATTCTCTACTTACCTTTTTCAATCCACCTACAGGTTATACAATCCCGACTTTATTTGGTGGCAGTGATTTAAACCTGTCAGCCACACTTTAACTGAGTTAAATTAGGTTCCAAGATCGTGGCTGCTGAAATTTATCGCATAGTCGCTTTTATAGCACTTAGAGAGGATGCATTCTCAAATCACTATCCCGTAGGGGAACTGGTGTAGCTTTTTACTACTTGTGGCAACCCTTTTGCACTTCTATTCTTCACATGTCTGAGTTTCGTTTAAGAGTTGTGACAAATTGCAGATGAAATCGCCAACTTGCTGAAGGCCAAATCACTTCAGACTTACCCATCCACTACTTATGACTAGCTACAACTCAAGGGTGTGCATGTAAAGCTTGTTTTACGGAAGCAGCCGGGAGTAGTCAAGCAGCTATTGGAAAGAAAGTTCCAGTTTCATTTGGTAAAGAAATACCCCATGCAGCAGTAAACTTGTCCACGAGAAGACTTTCCCTCTAAGAGGAGAGAACAACAGGAATTGTCTCTCTCTCATTCCAACCTTTCTTCCGTATTCCTCTAGTGCTACTTCTTCTAGTGATGAAGTTCACATTTTCTTGGTACTGACATCAGATAATCACATGTCAAACAGCATATGTGATTTGAAAATAAAAATTTAAAAGGAACAGAAGAGTCGGGATTCAGTTTTTTCCTAACTTCTGGTGGATTTATTAGGTTTAAAAGTTGAATTAACTGCAGTTGGTAATGAATTATTGACTGCGCACATATCCGGTCACCCTATAGGGATACCAAAGTTATTTTGCGGTGCATTCGATGAAAGAAGGACGCGAAATTAGCAGGTGCTGCACGTTATTTAGTGGCGGTCCTGTTTAAAGACACGAGAAATTTCACATGGTGACGGCAGTTTACGTCCCAAAATTCCTGAAATCGCATCAAAACTTGATGATTTTTGGACAAAATTGCCCAGTTGTTGTTGTGATTAAGTAGGTCATATGCAATTCAATTAAGTAGTAACCACGTTCCCCACATCTCTCGTTACCTAGTAATTGCTGCCGTGCAATTTCTACCCAAATTTGAGGTCACCGTTTATATTGTCTGGAAGTGTTTGTGAGAGATAGGTGACAATATCATCAACCTAATTAAATTATTACGAATTGAGAAATTACTTGAAGGGAAATGCTAAGTTAAAATGATCCAATAATAAAGCAAATGGCTACTTAGATTCGAAAACAGACGAAGCCATATAACCTACTGAAATGTACGTTACTGATCAATCGCAAATCACGACTTTTTTTCTAAGTAACACACTAGCAGCTGTTACAAATGATTCCTTTTGAAGTCTATATGACGTGAATATTTTTAGAAAATACTATAAAGCGGTCGGATTGGCCATAAAGTGTTACAGGGCATACGTTTTTGTACTAATCAAGTTGCTGGCATGGGATACTACTTGTAACCAATAAAGTAATTTAGGCAAGATATCATATTAATAGGTTCCTGGTACGCAACAGCTCTTCTAACTCTCCTGCCCGATTATAAGGTCCTGCAGTATTAAAGCAAATCAGCGGTATGATGCCCACGTCAAAAGCATTAAAAAGGAGGGTTCTTCTCTACTCCTATCCTATCTACTCCATACCATGTGATTCGAGTTGCCTCAATCGACGCATAAGAAACAGCCTCACATTCACCCCTTAGGCGTATGTTCAACTCTTTATCACCTTAATTGCGCGTGCTCTAAACTAACTTGTTCTACTGAGTGTGAATAGTGTTGTCTCAAGTATTCCCTGAATTCAGGAGAAAACATGAAGGCATGGTTGAGGGTGTATTACTGATGTACGGAAGATCTGAAGTCACCAACGTGACCCGGAGGCAATGCCGTCGAAAAAGTACAATGGCGGAGCCTTAAATGGTCTCGTAATTAGAAAGCAAATTTAAACAAACTACCCTGTACCTACGAAACTAATTCAGAATGCTAAAGCAAGAAAAAAAGAATGTTAATAAAAAGGAAAGGGCATATGGTTTTTTAGTATACCAGATAGTAAATGGGCTTGCATTTTAAATCCCTAGGTCCTACCATAACATCTAATCATATTTCGGAGTCACACATTAGTTTCCATAATTTCGCCTCCTTCAAATACGGTTCAAAAGTGCCTTATCCAAAATGATCTAAATGAGATTAAGGGAACTTCCCTTTTCCATCTACCTAGATGACTTCTGGTTAGTATTTCTACACGGATCATCTTGAATTGCCGAAACTGAGCGACTGATGAATGTCACCATAATTCAATGGGGACATGTTACTCAGGCAACAAATAAATCATAATCCAGAGGAGAGAAAGGTAAGCGCACCAACAATCTGTGTTTATAGTTAGCCATCTCACAAGTGATTTTACACAACACCTCAGTAGATGGCGCATCAACAACACAATTACTACATAAGAAGGCAGTGTGAATGGTTGGCGACTTGTTTCATAGAATACAACAACAATCATGGCATGGTAAACAAGGAGGAAATGACTAGGATAAACAGTATAGATGTCCCGAGTAGTAGAGAGGGCATGGGATGCTTGACTAGCAGGATGTTCTCCTATGTGTTGGCTGATTAATTGGCTTTGAGGAAGTGAGTTTATCGGTATAAGGGGCTTAAATTTAGCCAGAAATGTTGCCAAACGATTGCATTTTCAAGTCACTACTGAAGCCTTTGTCTCACGAGTTACTTAAAGTAGAATGAACACTTGATGCTGATATAAGAACGATTGTTAATTGATTAAAGTGGTGAAATCGGGTGATGGTGGGATTAGTGTGAACCCTTAGTGACTCGGCCATACCTGTAAATTATATTTTGTCGAAACTGACAGATAACAGCCCAATTTATTAGTGTCTACAAATCCGTTTCTTTACGAGCAATTGCATGGAAAAAAGATGGCAAAGGTGTATATACTTTCGCTACCATGAGCAGGATGCTTTTAAAAAGCGATGTATATAATTAATCTACCTGGACTATTGCTTCCTTTGTTTCATCATGCAACTTCGAAAGTACCTCCTTTTCAATGTGAAAAAAACATCACTTATTTGTGTTATACTGTTTGCCACGTCAATCTGACCAGGAGATTGAAAAAATTTTCAGCAATTTGTTGCTAACTTCATTACTGTAATAGTTGTATGAATAGGGCTTTTAAATAATTGCATATTATCTATCGAGATGATAATTTCATGTACCATTCATTTAAGCTCTTCATTTAAAAAAAGATTACCTTTCGTTTTACTTTTAAATCTGTTGGACTAAATCAGCATTATTCGATCCGCATTGTATCCACAACTGTAGGGGAAAGACGGCCAGTTAAATGAGTTTAGTTAGGAAATGAATTAAATTTTACAAGCTTTGGATAAGAATAACGCTACAATGACATCTATTAACTGAGCACTACCAATAATTTATTTAAACTAGTAATGAATTATGGTAGAAATGGATGCAAACACCGACGCCAACCTTACACGCATTTTTATGCAATTCTTGCATTTAAAATTAAAGAGCCATTTCAAATACTGTCACCATAGATCAGGGTGCAGACCCGATTTTGCTGTCCGCCTTCTTAAAGTTATATGATGACACGAAGGCTCGGACATATACGGCGATGTTGATGCGGAAGAGAGAGTGGAATTTCCTGCAACTCTCTGTCCACTTCCTACCCGTTTATCCGACAGTGGCGCAGGAAGAAGGTACTTGTGCAATCGTTTGTCATGTTTATGCCTTGTGCAAGTTTTAAAACCTAGTATTTGGCTCCTTTGCGGTCCACGTTGCTCACAAAGAAAGTGCAATTCCGCTCTACCTCTTTAAGCGAACCCCTTTCTCTTCCAAGGTTGCAAAAACACAGGCAAAATAACATTTTTCCATCTTTTACCCTGTTTTCATAAAGTATAACTAGCACATCACCTCTTGTATGCTTTTATGCCTATCATTAGTGAAAAAACAAATGCACACTGAACGTATTTTGGATTCGAAAGCTGGATATCCAATAGTTGATTTGAAACTTGCATGTGAAGTAAAAACCGATGTTACTAAAATGCATGTCAGGGACAAAGTGGAACCTCTAATTTGTAATACTTAATAATGGGCGTGACAGAGGCAGTAAAGCACCCATTGAGAGGTGGCAGATGCGTTCTGCTTTACAACAGTACTTTCTGTGCGTACCGGGTGTCAATCCAGTACAGTTTAGGTCAGTACACCCCAGCTCAGTCCAGTCAAGTCAAATCAAGTCAAATCCAGACCTGTTAATTAAACTGGCGTACAATGATAAAGGTGAGTGGGTTCATGGAACAGTGTGAGAGGTGTAAGATGTAGAACCCAAAATCATTCACATCAGCGGTGGACAACAATCACCGTAAGTTGATAAGATACACATCATGATTAAGATACTCGGGAGGTATCAACTTTTCAAAGACAACTCTATTCCTGTCAGTGCTGATCTAATTTGCGGTGAGTCTCAGCCCACAGCCTTGAGTAGTCACTCTTACGAGCATTTGATCCAAGTGCAGAAAGCCTCATCTTGGCCATCCAACAGATGCAACATCATCACTTACAAATTTGGGCATTGCCACAACACAATGGTCAGGGTGTCCTACGACAATCCAGAGGTACCAGCAAATTCCCACTGGCTAAGTTGCTTTCCAGGTATCAGCTGAAGACTGGAATGAGTGCATATACTAACGTAGAGGCAGGGAATCCACGTGTAAGAATACAATGTATTGATACCTCTTAAATTAATACTTTCCCGTTATAAGCTTGAACCCCTGACTTTGCTCGAATACTACTCGTGCGTATGTGTGATACCAAGATAGCATCAAAGGCTAAAGAAGTGTGTAAAATTCAGACCACCTTTGCAACATTAACAGATAAGAAATACATATTTGGTTTTGTTCTTACTCTTATGCTTCATTCCGTCGTGTTTCATAAGCAAAGTAGAGGCATTTCCCGACGCTGATGGAGAAGGAAAATTTAAGACACACAGACATTGGATCATGACACCATATCTTGCACATTAGAAAATAATTTAGCAAACACCCCAAATAAAATTGGGCAATAAGTTTGTAAATTTTGTCATATTAATCATCTGTTTATATTAATCTTTAGATTCACCTAAATACGTCACCCTCCAGATAAATAAAGTGGTTAAGGATATTAATCTCTATTACTTCTTCATATTTCCTCTCTATAAAGTCACCTCCCTCAGTAAAGAACTAGATCTCTGCTTCGAATGTCGAAAATGGCATTAAGGCTATTTATATGAGGCTCTAATTTCCGCAAGGTAGCTGTCATGATGTGTCGGTTACCCGAGAAAGCAGGAATCTAGTCCTACCATATGATTAAATTACCTCCTGAGGGTACTTTCGGGATCAGCATTATGTGAAAAACATGCAGCAATATTTACTTAATTATAATGAGTGGAAGACTTTGGCCTACTTTCGACTACTTTTCCTCTTATTAGAGTCACTACTTTGGCCGATAGGCTGTTTCAACATCAAAGGCGTCGACCAGTGTTGCCTGCTCCCTCCTGGCCCGTACCAATTTTCCGAGCCGCTTACAAGACTATTTTACCACTTCTTATTATTGTAACATCCTCATAAATAATTAAAAGGCGGTATATTTCATTATATGGCATAATGGAACTTACCGAGAACCAGTTTGCCTAAGGAAGCGCAACTTGTCTCTTGAATACACAGCCAGTTTGGACGACAGCATCCCCATTACTTCTATACAACTGAAGGACCTGAATACTCCATGTCCAAATGTTCATTTGTTCATTTACTGTCGCTACTAATAGAACAACGCTTAACATTTAGCCTGCAGACACTGGGAATCGCTTTTTCATTTTATGTTACCCGATGCTCAGGCAATGAGGTTAATATCTTATCAAAGTATTATCATTTGTTAACTTCTCCTTCGGTTCGACCTTCACTCAACGAGTTTCCTTTGTGATAACGCTACCACTTTAAGCATTATTGGCAACAATTTACCACTTTTATCCTAATGAAGGCAAGATCAAATCAAACGAATGTGATTAGCTCACTTACAAGCAACATTATTGAAAAATTAAATCGTAAACGCCGCAAAAGGAACAAAAAAGATTACAGGTATGTATGGAGTACGAGATAACGAAACTGTGATAAAGCTTGACTTCTGAAACGCTACAATAGCTCAATTGTCTTCAAGGCCATAGTAGGCATTATGACAAAAAACATTTGCTGTCATGCTCAACAATAAATTTAAGGGATTATTTAAAATAGGAAGAAATCCCTAAAACCGCCCGCTTTTATGAAAGAAACTTTTGGCCCAAGTTATAACAAGTACCATCAGAAATTATTATGAAAGACAACATTACAATCGAAACTTGTTCATCAAATTTAATTCCAGCTAATAAAGTGATAAAAGTAATAGTAGATAGTTGAGAGATAAGTATGTAACGGGATATGCAAATACCTGTAGACCCAACAGTAAGCGACAAAAACCGCGAAATTAGGTGCAAAATAGTCTTAAATAAAAATGAGAACCTACAGCAAATTTAGGTTTGTGAAGGCACAATACCCAAGAAGTCGCCACCTCAACCATTAAAATGCGACTGCATTACTAGGAGGAAATATGCTTCTAATAAGGCAGCTGAACAAAATAACTTCCATGGCTCTCCCACGGTTTTATTACCCTGAATTGCTTACACGATTTTACTCGTCAGTTAAGTCCTTTGCCCTGCAGTCCTTACACCGATGGCATAAAACTCTTCCCATTTTATCTACCATGTCAGTTTTCCAGTCCCTCTTACTCTAAATATAAAGTTACCTATGCCTGGCGGATCTACTAACAGCCTCAGGGTGGACTTATACTGTTCGATTTGGACGGATGCTCAATTCGCGACAACGAGATGCTAAGGGCAGGATTGGGAAGAGAATGGCGGTGGCAGGAATTCCAACCTGAAGCCCACATTAGAATCCCTAATAAGGTAGTTGGACATGATCAGAGGTTTGTAGAATCCACTTCCGTCCACGAAAATTAAAGCCTCAGGCAGTTGAACCACACAGTCACTTTCAATCTCTGTGGTATTTTCATGATATTTAAAGCCTAGGTTCTGCAAATAAGGCAAGAAAATTTGATTTTATTTTCCAGCCTTCAAATTAACATGATAGATATTCTACGAAAAATTATTTATCTTGTTGCAAAGTTTACAAGTAAACCACATATGAAACCTAAATACATGATTTGTATGAAAGGCAGATTTCTAAGTATTGACGTTACATGGATTTTAGATTTTTCTTGCAATTTGCTTATATAACAGTTTTAGTTTTTAATTAACTAATTCCAAAAATATCCAAATGACGCAATTTTACACCTTTTTGTATTTAAAGTAATAAGTTTCTCTCGGATGCTATGAAAGATCAGAGTCCAGTCATGGTTCTGCTACTCACTTCTGAAAATGAAATTAAAATCAAATCATTTGAGGGTACCACAGCCGAAGGTAGGCCAGTCACAGAGATGTAACTATGCGCCTGCTTGATAAAGTAATTGCGATTATTCATGGATTTCAAAGGATGTATGAGACACTTATGAGTCCTAAAACTCCTCCCCCCCCCTGTGTCACACATTCGTGACATGTATTTTTTGTCTAATTGCAATTACAGATTACACTAAGTCGTGCTTCTCATACAAAATAGTTACTTAAAACTACTGAAATGGACGGAGAATTCTTGTGGTCTCTGGATAATTCCAGGCGTTGGTCCTTAAGCAGTGCGACATTTGTGGGCTGTGGTGGCCGATTTTTCTCTGAGGTGCTAGCAGCTAATTCATTGTTAGAAAGACAGGTGGAACCAACCCAAATGAGGTGGCTTCACTGTAAAGTACCCACAAATTCACGCCTTATTTAGATTTAAATTGTTCAGCTATTTCGAAAGTTTGGATTGGATATGATAGCCGAATAATTGACTAATGTACGATGAGTGGGGTAACAACTACAGCTTCACCCACTTTCTCAAACGAAGAAACTATGGCATGGTGTGATGACCGTGCTGGAATCACACTCCTTGCCACTCGGAGTGATTCACGGATTCATTAAGGCTGACATGCTCAACTCAGCAGAAATTCAGTGAGTCACATCCTAGCACTCCAGTAACCTTAAAGTAACTTCTTTACAAAACAAACCCTCATCATGGATTGCGATTGTAAAAGGGTACAGCTCACCAGATAGAGAATTAGAGTCACTCGCCCTGTTAGAATGAACGAGGCAGATAGTGATTCATGGGTGCGAAAACACCTTAATGGCGTATTTAATAATCAGTCGATTAAATTTTAAAGTCGGTAGCTGGGGCTGTGGAAAATAAAGCTTAATGAAGTGAAGTAAACTAAGTTATCAGATGATGCAGTAGATTAGTAGCATTTGACTAGGATTTATAAAAACCAATTTTAAATTTAATTGGTGTCTGAGCAATTCATCACGCGTCTCATATCAGAATCCAGTTACGAATAACGTGTTTGCTGTTAAAAACCTCTCCTGAAAATTAACCTCTGCAAACTAAAATGTTTAGCTGCAATGATAATTTTTTGAAGCGTTTTAAGACGAGTCGTGTTTATACTGACAAGAATACCCACCCATCCCATCCCATATCCAGTTTGTACCCATCCATCCTTTCATTCATTATTCCTAGGTATTAAAGACACAAATTTGTATTTACAGCTCAAATTTCATCCACGTATGGCGCATTTTAGGTGATTAGAAATGAAATGTGAAGGAAAAAAGAAGCCTAAGCTTCCTTATGGTTTAATATACATTGTTTTAATAATAGTTTCGAAGCATTTTTTCACCAATTATACAAATAATTTTCCACCATTTACCGGAATGACCATTTCAAGTGGCGCTCAAAGACTAAGACGACTTAATTACCCTCAATTCAAAAAGATCTTTCACCCATGTAATCGTTTTGAGCTCAGCAATTCTAAAGTATGTCACACGATCTGATGCAGTCAGCATTCATAAACAGGAGAAGAATGCATACCACCACTTCATAGATAAGAATTGGTTTTAGACAAAAAAGTTGCCCAAGTGTCACATATATGTAACGCTTGTGATTAACAGTTTATGTAACTTGTCATCCTTTAGCAAGTTTAACAGGCAAAACACAAAAGCGGGTTTGCCGACTTTGAGTTATTTCGATCAAATCATTTCAGGAGCATTTGATAAGTGATAATACCAGCTTAAGTATTCAGTCTTTATTTATATATCCAGTGATTTTTTTGCACAGAACAAAGAATGTTTTACTAAAAAGCCACAGAGTACTTATAAATTGCTATCGAATAGGATTTGATAGGAGGAAGAGGAAGATGACTTTGAGAGCAGACCCGAGTTAGTCACAATGAGGTTTTGGGACACGAGGGCTCCCGCTTCCACTGAACAAAGGATTATAAAGTTCTTCCACGAAGAAGGTACCGGTCAGCAGCCAGTTCCCCGAAGTAGTGGTAAGTAATAAACAAACTTGCTTTTTGCCATTAAATTAAACAATTCTACTACTGGAAAGATCCCCTAACTCCCTCATTTAAATCATCCTCAAGCACGCTCTCCAAGCCCCTCCTTTAGATTTAGGTAACTACTGGTCTTCGACGAGGTCCGACCAGTATTAAATGAATAAAGAAATCATGCTGAAACATGTCCATTTCAACTATATACTTAGTAAGCTGTCAGTAAATTAAACAATTTTGATAATTTCCTATCCGCAACAACATTAAAACCAAATCATATAAATAATATCTTCCAAATCACTTTAGTAGAATGGAAAAATTATTGACATAATTTGTTAAGTTATTAAAAATGTACAAAGTTTTCTTTACTTGAGTCTTTAAGGAATTTTCAAAATTTAGCTTATTAGTTATTCTACTACAATTTAGCAACCATCAGCGCATCTGTAACACTAATTTTTTGGTGGGGTCTACGTTTTGGTCACACAGGCACTTAAGGCTCCAGCTACTGTAATTCTACCCACAGTTATAGCCTGCAGATCATGCTAGAAGCCTCAGCCTTTCCCTACCTTAGTAATATATCTCCTGCCATAATCGTTTTGCTTCTTCCAACTGCAGAGAAGATTTGCGGCGCTACACAGACTTATCGCCCCACGTAGTGTTCACTTCGGACATATCCATCATTTAGGAATCGTTTTTTTATCAAGTGTGTAGATTCTATTCCCTCGTTTCGATTTTAATGACTTTCTAACCATCACCCACTTTTAAATAAACCAATTAGGTTCCTGTTAGCGAGGGGAAAATGTTTTCTTCCAAAATATTTCGGTTCTCTGTTTTTTGTAAGCTCTCATTGAAATCAGTACAAAGGATGGCACTGTATAGGGGTTAAAAATTTTTAATAAAACGCATTAAGATAATGCCAACTGGAGTGATTTATTAAAGCAGTTGTAGATGGGCTATAGTCATTTCGATGTGACCGTGTTCTCACATACTCAAGAACCATTAAAGTTAATTCCAAACTGTTTCTTTTTACAAAATTCATATTTCACTTATTAAAGCCGAGAAACATCCATTTAAAGGATTTTTTCGCTCAAAACGTTGTAATAACTTGAAAATTCGAAAAAATAATTCTATTGTTCGATTGTATATCAATGATGGTAGTTTGTCTTGTAAATAAGAATAGTACATATTGTACCGCAGTGGCTTGATTTTAGAGGACTTCCATTTGAATATGCGGATAAGGGAACGTGGTAGTTTTCCGCTTATCCAAAGGAGCACACACGTAATACACTATAAACGGAAAATTCTTACGATAAATTCTTTGAGTTTCCAGTTCTGGCGATACCCCGGACTATCTCAGAAATATGCTTATTAATAGAACAGGGGTTTGTTTTTAATAAGCAGGTGATCTCTGTGTTCTGATCGACTCAAATGGGATCTCATCGGGATCAAAGATGGAAGTTATCTCATCAATTCGTCGCAGCAGCAAAACCCGAATACATACCTAGAAGCACTAAGCAAAGTGTAAAGAATGTGCTCAGTTATATCCACAAGAAATATGAGGAAGCGTTTTGCATCAGTAAAAATTTTAATTAAGCAGCTGTCTTGTTTTTACTTATTAAAGCAGGTAGCATCAATGACATTAAATTATCTGAATGGTGGTAACGTCCAGTTCCCGCAGAATAGTCGGTGGAGAGATCAGAAATTGAATATAAGACTCACACAAGCTTATTCAATTTTGCAACAGCTTTTTTGTGGATAAATGTGATCCCGCAACAAACTCTAAAGTTTCGTGCTAGTACAGTGTTCATCTCACCAATCGCTTTAAAGAATAGGCGAGTAGGAAAGCAAATGAGTGGGAAAAGTTTGTTGACCTTAATGATGACAATTTGCAATTCATGCAGTTAATTGAAGTTGAACTTATGAAAGTAAACTTATTGAAACTTGACACTTGTTTTTTTGTTTTCTTGCAACAGTGATAATGGCGAGGTATACTCGAGCTCCCAATATATCGACAAGAATTATAAAAATCAAAGCAAAAAGTCAGGTAAAGTATACATTGGTGAATATCTACTAGTGGAACAAAACAATTTAAAACTTTGGTATAAAGGGTTGTTTGGTGTTGATTTGCTGGTCTAATTAGAACTTACCTTCTGTGGGTGTGGTAAAAAATCACCCTGTTTTCAACATCAACGTCATTATCGTGGTCGAGTGCACTTTTGTCGTACCTAATTCATGAAAAAAGGGTAAGTCCAGCCCAGAGGCTCGATCCCCAAAAAAGGGGAGAACATTAGGAAGAGAGAAGAGTTGTTGCATTCTTCCGGTTTTGATAAAACATTGGAATCGCAAAATGCTCAGGCAGCGATGATGGTCGGTTGTTTCTAAAGGGGAACTTACTTCACGGTATACGGGGTAGAGGAGATTGTCTTTCTTACATTACAACAAAGTTTTAGTTGATAAATCAGCACTATTTTTGAACCCATTCTATTACTTCCCTTTAACGGGATGGTGTAAAATATTGTTTGTTCCAAATCTGGCTCCCAAAATGGGCTTAGTAATTTCAGTGAGCTACAGATTCACGAGGTCTCTTATTGCAAAGGGAGGAGGAAGCCGCTTTTATCTTTAGGATTAAATACTTACATGGTCAACCAACAGTGAAACCCATTCAAATTTCCAATTGTATTTTACACTGAAGAAAAATAATTTTGCAGTGTTTTTACTTATTAGGTTAATTTCGCCAAAACTGACCTGAGCAGGGCATCTGCCTCATTGAATTACCCGTACTAACATTTGGAGTGGCCATTTTTATTCTAGGGGGAAATTCAACTCGTAGTCATGGTTGATGGAACAATTGCAAGGCGAGAAGATATTACTTCATCCTCAAAGCAAACACCGTTACAAGGATGCCTGCTGCTAAATATTCTGACTACAAAGAAAAGATTGTTTTTGCATGACACATTAATTTTGGGTGAAAAATCGTGCTATTTACTTGGAAGAATAATGGTACGCGTAACTGTGCTTCTAGGGAGAAATACATACGCATGATCTAGAACCAACATTGAAATGATGTTGAAAAAGTTTTTTTTTCTGTAAAAATAACCTAAGTACAGCTGAAAGCAAAGTGGAAGACCAAGCGATTTTGTATTAGTAAAGGTAGTAATTCGTCGAAATGTCTGTCAGGTATTTTTGGCCAATGATTTGCCTGTAGTGTATTAATCAGACTGCTTTGCCACTCTACCTCCCTTGGTATAGACTTCCCATTTCATCGCATATGAGCAATGGTAAGGGAGGACGTTTTGTAGAAACGCCTTTTTAAATAACTACAAATATGACACACATCTGTATGCTCATATCATGTGGAGTACGAACTCCTCTACCTGCTCTAATTCCAGTGCATTCTCCACCACTGTCTTATGAGGTAAAAAGGCATCAAAACAACAACTGCATCTCACGCATTAGGCAAACTGAGAATGTTGAGGTTGTATACAGACGCAGGTTTGATGCACATTACATCACCAAAGTACTAGGTCTTCAAGTTTAGCCTTTGATCCCCTGCAAGACTCCTTCACATGTTCACTTCGAGTGTGTTTTAAAGGAATTGCAGTCCGGTTGGACCTCATGCTGTCGGAATGATAGGAGACTCGTTCACAATATGGGGCCAAGTACAGTAGGTGACGTGTCCCCTCGAATGCACTGGAGGTTTTATTTTGAGTTCAGCGGGAAGCACAATCTGCAGAAGGTAATTAGAGCGCGCAGATGAGAATCTAACTGAACAGTTTTAAAGCAGTTAAGTGCATTTCATAACGTTTCAATGTTTACGGTCTCAATGAGAATTTACTTCCGAATGCTAAGTGTGCATGGATTAATCTATAGTTGATGCAGTTTCACTCGTTGGTAATCAGAATATGTGCAACCATGTGATTAAAACTGCGCTACTTTTGGTCAAAACCCAGGCATTAGCGCGTATTTGAAGCAGATATCATTAACAATCAGGTAAGACTAATATCAAAATGATTTCCGTTGAAGTGCAATCAATGTGAAGGCAAAAATAGGGGTTCGGTGTAGGTATGCTGGTTAGACGTTGATGTGGTGGAGAAGATCTCCTCCATGCTACTGCCATATACTTGCTGAAACTGAAGTTCTGGTCTCTACAGGTAAACAGCTTTTGCACAACTATTTACTGAACACAGAATGAAGTTCGTTACGTTGTTGAGTCTCGGTGGCATAACTGAATTGGTGCCGTTGGTACCAAGTCGACAGAGATAAATTTGACTGTACTTCTTCGAAAGTCCAAGTTAGTGGATAAGTGATTCTTGAGAACCTCCTCATCATCGCTTTGTTGCTATTTCAATGATTCGCATGCTTTTTTTGTTATGATTTCAATTCCTTCGTCGAGTTGGTCATGCAGGAGATGTGCTGCGAAAACACGTGGCTCAGGCAACGTTAGCCAAGGTAATCCGCAAACGCTCACCAAGTCTATTCGTGTGCGCAACAGTTTACTATGTACTTGTTGCGTTCCTTGTTACAAACAACTTCTCCTCTCTCAAGCACAGGCATGTTGTCATAAGGTGACCTCACGATAAGCTGGTAATGCCCTTTCTGCCTGGAAGTCAAGGGGTATCTGATAACGATTTACAGGAAAGTCAGTTACCTTAATTTTGTGGGTCCCGAAGGAATTCGTGACATCGCCAATTGTCTGTTGCCCATTCTCAGGGCAGAAAGTGCGGAAAAATGCCAGTTTCCAGCAGAGGCATTTTCTAACTATAGTCTCGACTGCACAATATTAGAGACGCACTGCTTCATACTGCATCAAGAATGAGGGAGGATTAAAGAGTGGATTATATGGGGAAATCGTTAAAACAATCCACCAAAGAGGTGAAAGACAAATCGGAGGTGTAAAGCTTGTCCATCGGAGTCCTTCCTGTCCATTCATGTTGTGTGAATAACGTCTCATAATATTGCAGGCAACGGCTGTGAATACTGTCAGAATACCATATGAGACAGATGGAATGAGAACCACGTAGCATTGCAGCTTGGGTAAAGGATGGTGTTGCAACTTTCCTCATATTTGGAGCTTATAAAAATAAATAAACTTCCAAATAAATGTGAACCCATTGTTTTCTTTTTACGATGAGGGACATAACTGAGGAATAAATAATGCTGATTTATTTCCTCTGCTTTCGCAAATGAACCAAATGTCAATCTCATTTAACTGAAGAGATTGCATGATAAATGGGGTCTATGAGCACCTTGTTGGCCCATATACAATTCTTCTAAAAGCTCAATCCAATGAATTTAGTATTAAAGAAGTGGGCAACACATCTCACTGTATTTTTTGACTTTCTACGCAGATTCACGGGTAACTGATGTCACAAAATCGACTAAAGTTTTGACAAGATATGCGAAATTTTATCCGTCTTAATAAAGATTAGCTTTTAAAGTTGTATGACAGAGAGGAAAATTTATTAAATGGATGAATTTAAATGTTGGGTTTTATTAACCTAATGCTGTTGGTGAGATTATCTACATCTTTGCCATCTTTTCTCACTTGATTGCTCCCAGAGTTACACACCTGTTGGTAATGATGAATAAGATGCCACTCGTCAGCTTCGACTACTTTAAGTATAATTAATATAAATGGAACAGTTGTTAGGGATTCACATTGTCACCATCATCATTCACTAATGCCACCTTCTTTGTGTTTGTTCTTGCAAAATTTCACTTGTAAAATGAGGCGACAATTTGCAAGTTTTATTATTTTATTATCCCTTCTTCACAGTAGTTTCGTGTTTATTTAACCTTAGATGATTCGTGAGGCAAGTGCTTCGGTTGTGGTGCACGGAAGCAATCATTTGTCAACCGTTTCGGCTAGATTTTGGCCTCTCGTACCGATGAAATCACTTCCTCAGAACAAGTTAATTGGCGAACACATAGGAGAACATCCCACTAATTAAGCAGCTTGTTCTACTACATGTGTTACTGGGCTTTACCTCGCTTTGTGGAGGCAGATAGCCACGTGCTATTTGGATATTTATACTGCTTACCCTTGTCATTCCCTTCTTATTTATCACCTAGTAACTGCCTTTTTTTCTGAGGAGCAAGCCACGACCCCCTCATACTATATTTGTATCTAATAATTATTGTTGATGCACCTTCTACTGAAGTGTTTTTTTTTGATTCGCTTACGAGATAAAAACTGCAACCATAATTCCTTAATCGGTTTACTTCTCTTTTCTCCTGACTGACCGTTGGCGTGGCGGCCAAATCGCGAAAGGTTGGAAGGGTTTGCCAATTCTGCTTTACGATGGTGACTTACCGCGTTTTACATGTCACGCTGCTGTGCCTGATATTAAACATTGCCTATCCTCAATCCCCTTCATTCAAGCAAATACGGTTTCATTCGGATTTGTGCCCCATATCATCTACTAAGTGAAGTCTCCTCTTTGAACTTGCGGGAAAACAAACCTCGATACAAGATGCAGAAAGTACTAATCATATATCTATAATAGCGACGACACAAAAATATGTAGTTTCTTTAAAAGTGAGCGAGAAGGCCTCAATAATCACTTTGGGAAAGGTGTGGTTATAAATAGTCGGACAGAACACTTTTAGCAAAAGTGGATTTTGATTTGTATAAATCATTGAATGGGAACAAATTTCCTGCAAATCTAACTTTCGACTAGAGATAAGATAGCCTAACTTCCAATAAGCAAGAACTGAAAAAAAATGATAATCTACTTAAATAACTTTTGCCATTTGATAAGCAGTTTGTCTTGCTAAGAGGTTTAACAATGGTTGTTTATAATGTTGCCTTTGTTTAAACAACTGAACATCATGTAAAGGAGGCAAACATAATAAATAGATTTCTCAAAACAAATCCACCATTTCTTATAGTTTGTACAAGGAAAATGAAACCGTGATGCTATGAAATAAATAAATAAAAAGGCTTAATGGTAAATATATTTTCCCAAAAAAATAGATAGTCATTGCTAATGTGCTGTTCCTAAGGCAACATAACAGTGCGATCTAAAGCGACTTTTTCCATTTTTATGATATTTTTATGGACATCTAGCAGGACGGTTGTCAACTTTATCAGATAGGCGTCGTTGCACGGTGTATTGACCTAGACACATGGCGAGGCTTGTGACCTCATTATGTTGGCGTCACTTTTCCTTATAGCACAAGTGAATACCACTTCGAATTGCCAAAATCATCTAAATTTCTCTTCGTCCGTAGCAGAGTCGAATGCATTAATTCATCTGTAAAAATGTGAAAATGCGATTTAATAAATATTTCAATTCAGTAAAGACTTAAATAAAGGTTTAAGTAAATCTGTCGAATTATTGCCATGTTTCAATAACTTGTTTCGCGGGGAGAGATATTTTAAAAACAGGCCTTCATTTTCGGTGTTAAAACCATCCGAAAAATCATTTATCTACTTTTGATACTGATAATTTCCGCCTGCCTATATGATGGGTTTAAAAGTGGAAAGCGTTTTTTGTAAAAGAACGAATTCAGCTCCTTTAGGTTTGTCTGCTTTACAAGTATGGGCTCTATAACGTAGAAAAGATGGCTAATGGGGTGGTGTTGTCAAAAATAAGTAAGCAGAATAGTTAAATTATTAACAGTCAGGAAATAAAACTCTAAGTCAACAGCGTAGAAGCTAAATCTGCTGTGACTCTGGTAAATAAATAGACACTCCAAATGTCTTGTTTCAGCGTCGTTCTCGCCATCCCCCAGAATCATTTTAATTAGACTTTTACAACAGCGTTTCTTGAAAGGGTGTTCTTCAGCAAAGATAATATCTGATGTAGATATGACAATGGGTTGCATGATTTTCGGTGGATGAGGTCATTTGCCACTTCCTATTTGCAAATCACAACACTGGAATACATCCGGTGGATGTTTAGATGTTCTTGATGTTAAACGATAACCACTCTTTGTATTCCAGCCATTCTTTCGATAAATCTTTGTGCTCGACACAGCAGCACATCGAGTAAAACCCATTTATGCACACTTATAGAGTATGGTCTTTCATGTAGCAGAACAGTCTTTTTGTGCAAGCCCTTTCTACCTTTCCTTTGGGTATGATATAAGAATGTCAACGGCAACTCGAGATGTAAGCAATGGCTCTTCAAATAATGCGGTATACTTAGGATGACCATCGCTATGCGATGCCACAGTTTGATACCTTGTTTAATTACATGTTTAACCATCTGGACTATCCCGTATCTGTGGTTTGTATATCTGCTAAATTTATGACTCTGCCACCATGATCATTGTCCCTCCTCTCTGCTATACGCTAATTACAATCATTTCTCCATGCCATACCATTTAAAAGAAAATTCGTGATTTTATATGAACCCCATAACAATGTTTAACAAAAACCATCAATCTTACCCCCACTCTGTCCCTTTCAACCATTTTCAAAGAGTAAAATGAAGGAAAGAAGAAATTAGACTTTTATCAGTAGGAAGGTAGAGCAACTCCGTCTCAATCACCAGATTCCCTTTGCGATATTTCTTCAGATGTTGACTTTTGCTTTTTTTTGGCATCAGGATTGGACATTCAAATAGCAAACAGTATCAACAGTGGAGCAACAAGGTTTTTCATTAACTTCCATAGCCAAAACATTTTTCACGGCAAGTTTTACTGCAATTCTGTTTCATATTTGGAGAGAACCACGGATAGGGATTGTGATTACTTTAAAGGATAAAATAAGTGAAGGTTTACATAGTAAATAACTTTTATTTTAGAAACTATGGAAGGTTATCTAGCCACCTAACAGTTGGGAATGCTATCAACTCCTAAACTTGAAAATTCATTCCTTATTTAGTTTGAGGCCCGTAGCATAAGAATTTCCTGGGGTCACGATTTAAAATTCAAGCATGAAAATCCAACTTTAAGAAGCGAATCAAAAAATCGTATATCATTTCCACAAAAAACCCTTTCTTTACTTATTAAGTAGTAATCTGGTGGCAATGGCACGAAATCACCGCTAATTTGGCTGAAGATAGTAATTTCGTATAATCCTGTTTATTTGGTACAATTCTACTCGAATATTTTTTTACATGGGCAGAGTGACTGTGCTTGCCTCTTCCTTCTTCAAATTATCCACGTGGTGGGTGATCGATAAAAGGTCATTCAAACATCTGACTACCTCAACTCGGACAATGGCCTCCACTATACAGCGGCTAACCCGATGACAATGGCAGCACCACCAGGTCCAGGAAAACCCTTTCTCTTAACGCGGAGGGCCAACAATCCAGGCTACAACCTACAGTCACCTCGAGCGCATAACACATTTCAACTAGCACCGGTAAAGGAGTTTGCTTTTGCCACTCACTGTGGGGAGATTCGTGATATCATTCAAGCTACTTTGGACGAAGCACTGGCAGACAGTCGGCCTGACTTGCAACAAGTACTCATGGACGCGTTGGGCAAGATTAGGACGGATCTTCTGCAAATTCAGGCACTGTTCTTTCCGCGTCATCGCATTGTGGTTCATGGGATAATCGGTGGTGTAGTGCATAATCAGCCTTCGCTCATCTATGGTAGTCAATGTCTGGGCGAGCATGAATGTGGTGACGATGGAGTCAGTGTTTCAGTTAGGAGTCATGACAAATTTATCTGTGTCAGTGTGTACGGTTTTTATCAGAGTTAGATCTTATCAACTTACCTATTGCGATGTTATTCCTCATACACGTGATGAAATATAATAGGATTTGTGTATTCAAAACGTATCGCCATTTTAAACATTGATGAATTAATTTAGTTACCACTAGTAGGACAACAGCATTGTCGACTTTATTGGTGAGGTAGATTAGGGAATAATTCCTCAATTTTTGAATGCTTTCACGATACTTCTTTAGATTAGGGAAAATTTGAATACGTCCTATCAGTAGATGACTTTAAAAGATTTCATTAAGAAGAAAAAGTTTTATATCGAATCTGACAAATAAGGAACAGATGACTTTAGCCATTTTTGCCTGATGTTTGCATAATTCAAAGTATAAATAAATGGTTTTCTAAAAAGTTACAATAAAACAACATCTTGAGGGGCAAGTTATTTCATTTGTATACTTTGTCTGCCATTTAATGGGGCTGTAACAGTCTAGCAGCTAGCCTTAAAATCTGTGCTTGTTAAACTACAGAACTAATTTGCCTTCAACCAGTTCATATACTACATTTTCCCTGTCAATAGCTAGCAAAATGATAAAAACCATAAAATACCACTCATACGATGAAAAGTGTATTTGGGGTTCAATGTCGACTACGTAGGTTCAAAATCTTAGGAACTGAAACAAAGAATTCAATTGCATACTGTGATGGAAAAAACCGCTTTTGGTGCAAATAACTAACTTTTTCGCTTAATTGCAGGGTGAGATCTAGTTTAACCAAAGCCTCATCATCTATCATCATTTTCCAAAACGATAGACCTCTATAGCCAAAAGGGTATTAAGTTCTACCCTACTATCGGAGGATCTTTTAGGACACAGCACTTGGTTTAAGTTACCCTATTCTTAAGTAATCTCGATGTGGACAGAGATTTTATAACTAACAAATAAAGAGTTAAAGGAGTAATGTATTCATAATGCATGTGTACAACCCATTGTTTACTAATAAAATCTTAAACCGGTGGTTATGCTTTTCTCTAAGCCAGTTGTTTGCCAGTTTAAATGTCCAGCCCTAAGTAATGTAATCAGCTAAGCATTCCAGCCGCCAATGCATATCCCAAACCACTGCCATGCAGAAAATGGTCGTTACAATTAATAAACAATAGTAAATTTTTAGCAAAATCAGTCCCGTACACCTATAAATTTTTCATAATTAATGTAGGGCGAGTGTGATGTAAACTGAGACCCATTTCTGGGAGCTCATTGGATGTATGAAGGCTTCCACTAGCACTGTCCTTCTTAACTTCCAACGATTTTGCAGCTGCCTTCTCTGCGGGTAGCAGGTTGAACGACAGGCGTGGCACCCTTTCCATGGTGACGTCAAAGAAGGGATTCTGCTCCCAGTAGTTTTGCACATTCGCTAGAGTCTTCTCATCCATCAGAGGATACTTTAGGGTTGCCTGTGCCCGCAACACGTTAAGCACTGTATTTGGGTACTCTCGGTTAGCTATGTTGATCTCACTGAAGGCTCTCAGAATATCCATGTAGAGTACACTTGGAAGGAGTCGCCAGATATTTTCATCGTACATTCCCAGAACTTCTGCTTTAGCGGCCAACTTCTCTGCCTCCTCCTGAATTTCACTTAAGTTAGTGACGAGTGAGTCGAGAATTTGGAAAAGAAGAAGGCGTGCCATTTCCCTTCGGCGGAAGATTCGAAAAGTGAAGAATCGAATGAGTTCTGGCAGAGGAATGCTAAAAAGCACATCGGCCAGTGTGTAGTAAATTACTCCAATTAAGCGATGGGAAATTTCACAGTAATTGTAAGTCAAGGGTGGTGGATGAAAAATTACTAGGGATTTTTTAATGCTTTCACGTTCTTCGTGAATTTGTCGAGCCTCTCGATATGCCGTAATATTCTTCTCCCTAGGTATGAGAGCTCGTGACATTAAGCGTATTAAGGTGTCTATTAGTACTTCAGCTCCTCTCCTCATACTGAAATGTAACCGCCTGGATAAGATTGCGATCGTAAAGCAGCATTCCTGTGCCAATTCCTGACATTCCAGCAAAAGGCAACTGGCCAATGCATCATTCAATCTCTCCGAATTTGTCTTCATCCATTCTATAAATTGAGGAATCAAACGTTCGTTTGCCGATACCTTACACAAAGTGTGAAGTGATTCAACTTTCTCAAGGAAGTTAATATCCTTATCGCAAGGAGTGTCACAGGTCACGCGACCAAGGGTTTCATTGAGGAGTTTCTCAGTTAGAAGTACGTCTGCTTTCATGGATTTGGGAACAAATACAACTCGGCGCAGAAATGCTGATAATGGAAGACCATCGACGGACGTAAGGTGCTCTAAAACGGAATTGGATTCTTGCTTTTGCAAGGCTTCTACAAAGTCTTCCCGATGTAGGGTGTATCTAATGGGAGGCTGACATTGTCCCTCATGAGTTGATGAGAGTTCAGTGACATTTTCTTGACTTAGTCTGAACGACATTGGCTCTTAACTACACGTCACGCGACCGTGTGCGCGGTCAGACGCACAATGAAAATCTTGGGGCCTATCGATTAAAAGAGGGTGTTTGAATTTAAATTCTCGGTTGTGACGCATTTTCATTAAAATGTGGGTTTTTAGATGTAAACCTTATGAAAAGCAACTTACTTAACCATCATTATACCTTAATACGGAGATAACCAAAAAGAATTTGAAACCAATTACCTTTGGGCTGGCATTCTGCTCTTTTTAACAACAGAAGGCCACAGAGATACATTCAATTGGAAGTTTATATAGAAGTTGGCATATTGGGCTGACGTTTTCGTTAAGAAATTCGCCGCTCATAAAAGCTGAAAGATGATATTAGATCAGAACTAGATGGAATGGATAAGGTATAAAATAATGCAGTGTCGTCCTTGTAAGCTAGGTAAGTAACCGAGTAGGTGTATTTCTATAGCTTGTGTTCTAAAATGAAATCATACCAGCAAACTGCACACAAATTACAGGGACTCTTTTGTCCTATTAACACTGTGAACCAGTAAGTATCTGTTGCTCGAAGGAAACTTTCATGCATGAAAGCTGCCAGTTGTGACTGGATATCCTTAATCAGTCGTATTCTTCGTTTCAGCAAAAGCCTTGGCTACTAATCCTATCATTTCTGTTTATCTCTCACTGACTGAGAAAGCCTTACAATCAAACTTTGTCAAAGAATCTTGCTTTCACTTATGGTAGTATAGTCTATTTTTGTAAAGAACATCGTCATGAATATAATGTGCCAGACGATGAAATTTAAGACCACAATTTCCAAATGAAAAGCCCGTTAAAAGCAGGTAAATTCCTCTACATTTTAAGCAAGTAAGACCCGTGGAAATTTACTTTATCATCCCATTTGTTGTTTTACCTAAAAATGTGCAAATCAAAATCTAGGCATTGTGCAAGAACTGGCTCGTTGGCTGTCACAAGTTTGGCTAACATTATTCCACTGATTAGGGTCTCAGATATCAGATCTTTTAAAGATAATTGTTTCTGTTGCCATACTTTCCTAGAATTCTTTATAGAAATGATTATGAATTGTTTTAAGGCCTATAATTTTCCTTCCTATTTTTCCTGGCTGACTTATTTTAAATAAGTAGTAATTAACTTTTATCCACATAAATGGAAAGTTCAAATCTTTGAATAGCCTTATTCAGAAGCAACTTGTACGCAATTACTCGTTAATACACCTAAGGGCAAACAAGTGCCTTTAATTACTTTATAGCCTCTACCTCTTCAATTCTCCATGATGACCTCCCGTATATGCTAGTTTCTTTGACTTAAAAGGTATCATTTTCAAAGGCGAGATGCATGGCTAAATGGAGCATCTTTGCTAACTAACAAGCCAGTATTTTGGAAACAAGTAAGCTTACATCACTCAAAAAGTTAATTTATTTTAGAGATGATGTATTTTTTTATTTCTTGGCATATAATTTACAGCAATAACCTTTGTATCATGCAATTATTTTTTTCTGTTTAAGATGCTAACGTAAAATCTACCTGAATTTGTTTGGAAAACCCCTTCTCTCATTTCAGACACACTTTCTTAATCACAGTTGAGAAAAAAATAGGAAAGTGGGCCAGAAGTTTAAGGTTTGGCGAATGTTTTGGGTGCATCCTATTTTTGGACAATTTTAAAGGATAAACACTTTGCATTGAGATAGTGATACATCCGTTTTCTATTTTACTGATTGAAATCGCGGAAAGAGAATGTTATAACACTATGCCCGGATAGTGCTTTTTACTGTATCAATCCAACCCATTGCCTTATTTTTTAGGAAAAGCCATTTTTTTGGTCACATGGAATTGCAAAGTGTGTGGACTTTAAACTACTGAAATTTCATGCTATAACGACAAAGTAGTTTTATTAAATTGATGATTCTATCAAGTATGACTTGCATTCACTAGCATTTTGTTCTGTTAATTTATGCATTCTAGACCTCTTTTAATTTGAAAATTTTGTGATGGTTTACTATTCACTTATCTGCCCGTTTAATCATACAAATTATTCGTTCTCTGCGTTTCGTGTTTACGACATGGTGATGTAGTCTTTCGGTCAAGCCTAAAGTCTCTCAGCCTTTCTTTTGTACTGGTTTAGCTTACTGTTACCTCTAAGAAGACTCGTGGCCTTGGTTCCACAATGTCTTCTACAGCCATACTTCACTTGATCATATTACAGGCTGTCTAACTACGAAGTCTGAAAAAAAGTAAAAATAAAATAAATAAATAAAATTACATCAAGACACAAACTTATACTAGAATAAATTACGAAAGTTTGACACAGAGCAATTAATCTCGTGGAGTTGATTTATCACAATGACTCCGCCTGTTCCGACCACACAAAGGCTGACAAGTTAACATTATTTGTATCAAGTGCATGGTGCCTGGTGCATTAGTGGACACACTTATCCGCAGAATGCACCAAAAGACGGACAGATCCAGAACAATTCCCGGAATGTAAATGGGTACGTGCGAGAAATGCTACTCTGGCGGTGGATTATGATACAAGGATGTGATATTTAAGAATTGTGTTTAACACCAACCCCAGCATTTTGTTTGTTACGTTAGGAACCAAGTTTTCTGATCACTAAAAGGTTTTTTAACATAGATCGAATGAAAGTTCGTGCATCAAAGACTGTATTCGGGTAATGATGACCACGCTGCTCGAGTTATGCCTTAGAATTTCTTGGTTATTTATCCACATTTTTGTTAAATGGCATAAGCACTTGGGACTTTAAATAGCGATTGTACTGGACGCAAGTGCAGTTTTTAGTATGGTACTATGCATTACTGGAGTGAATCCACAATTTTTTAGCATTCACCTTCAGCTATTTAGTTCAAACCTTAATTTCTATATGTGATACAATTTAAAGGTGTTCAAGAAAATGAGAACGTGTTCTAAATTACTTGGCTTGTTTCTACTTAAATCCTCTTTTCCTGCATTATCTATTCAAGTTTTGTCTCGGCGAACTTAAACGATAGTGAATAGTCTTACGTCTTACGTTCTTACGTGCTTAAGAACCATGACCTAAAAGATAGAAAATAACTTTAAAATATCAGGCTCATTTGTAAATCACTTTCGAGACAAAAAAATGGGATTCCATAGTTCAACATTGCAAAATTTGTTTTTGACGGTACTTTCTTTAATGCTTGTGTTAGAATTTCTGCTTCTGTTTTGGATTGCCAACTTGAATATTCACGTACCAAAGGAGTCTCGTGCTTTTGTCATTCACTTTTGCGACACAGATTTTCAGTTATTTGCAAACCTGTAATTACTTGTCGAGAGATAAAACGCTTATTTACCGGGTCATTAGCCCAAAGAAGGAATAATTTTAAGTCAACGAATAGCCTTCACAAAATTTGCCAAAGAGCAAAGGCAGATTAAAGTGGTAAGAATTCAGATTTTCCTATTTTAAAGACAAGGAAATGCAAGTTTGGTTTCTGAGATCCACATCAAAGCGATGAGGTGTATCTTTATAATCTTCATATCAACTAATCGGGGTGAATAAGAGGAAAGTAGAATGCGGCGACATCAAAATAAGTAACTATCTCTTGCTTCACCACATTCAACGCATATTTGTAACCAATGCAAAAAATAAATTTGACAAATAAAAAACCAACTTTGAATCTAATTCAGAAAAAAACATTTAAAGCTCACAACAACTGTCTTAAACGTTCACATATTTGCATTCCTTCCTATACCGGGGTGATCGTTTTTTGTTCAGGAGATTTATGAAGCAATAGTAAGTATGTCAGATTCTAATCTGGAAATACATAACACGTATTTATTCGCAGGAAAGTTTTTATTGCTTCAGGGTTTAAAAGAGGAAAAATAAAAGGCAGCCAATCAATTTCTTGTGACACATAAGGGAAAAAAATAATAATGGAGAGCTCCTAAACTACTTTGCACATTGTATTGATCCCTTTCATAGTCTATAGTTCTGTTTCAATGAAATTTAGACTTGAATTGAGCTCTACCCTTGAAAATTCCCAAAAGCCAAGAAAGAACATTCCTAGCCACTATCGTTCCCTCACATATTAATTTCCCTTTTGCCCATTGCAGTTAGTATGTGAATGGTTAATGCTAACATCGTGCGAATTTGGAAGATTTTACTTGGAAGAATATCATTAAGAAGTAAGAAAGATTAAGATGAGGATAGAAATGAGCTAAATACAACACTTACATGAACGGCAAGTACAGACCTTTGAAAACGAAGCTGTGAGCGTCTAAGTAGTTTGCGACGGGTTAGATACAAAGCAGATTATGCAAGGGTAACCGATGCTATGTACGTTTGCTTAAGGAATACTCCGGTAAAAAAACCAATCTTCGCCACACGTTAGATGGGTAGTAAACAGTCCTATCCTTACATTTGAAAGAGGTGAAGTTAAGCAAATGGGTATATGTTAAAGCATATTATTGCCCACTGAATCATGACATGAGTGGAACCCACTTGATCTGTAGCCTCCACCACGATACTCCGTCCTCACTTAATGCAGGCGTACATCAACTGTTTTATAACCACGTTAAGCAGCATACTACCGAATGTTATTCTTGAAGAGTTAATCTCGATTAATTTTTATCAAAGGTAAGATGAAGTTTTTAATTATAAACAAGAAGAAACCATTTTCCTGAACGTGATACATTCATCTTTGAGTGACTAAGCACCAGAACCACATTTCAACGAGTCATATGATCTTAAGCAGCACACTTTTTGCCATTGCTCCTGCAGTAATAGTCACAGATGGATTTCACAATGTCCTTTATGCAGCAAACAGTATCAAATCACATCCATGGGGTTCAAATGACATCTAACAAAATGAGAACTGTTTTATGGCAGGAAAATAGTGTTGGGGGATGCGATAAGGCATAGGGTGTTGATTGCCTGAGATAGTTCCTGTGCATTTCATGATATATTTATATGAACAATCTTGTATATCTACCAATTACAGCGAGTCATTTTAGCGAGCAA